CTTTGTTCTTAAACCTGGACACATGAACACACACGTTTACTCCTTATCCAGGACACCTGAAAATGTTAGCATTATTCCCAACCAGGGCACCGTACAATGCAAGCATTATCCTTCACCAGGGCACCATACAATTCAAGCATTATCCTCAACCAAGGCACCATACAATTCAAGCATTATCCTCAACCAAGGCACCATACAATTCAAGTATTTTCCTCAATCTGGGCACCATAAAATTCAAGTATTGTTCTCAATCATGGCACCTGTTAATTCAAGCATTATTCTAAAAAGAAGCACTTAATAAATCAACTATTATATCCCAACCCGAGCACCCGAAAAACCAAATGTATCCACAACCAGGCCAATTTAGGGAAGCGCAAGCTCGATCCCGACTCCCAACCTTTTGCTCCTGGCAAGAAATGTTTTATATCCAACTTATGCTAAAAGCAAACAATACAAGTGTCCCTATAGATTAAACCTATCTTGAGTTTACACAAGGCTCAATAAACACCACCATGGTATGTCCCTTTCTGTCAGTGCAACACTTGGTAATAGAGAACTGGGTCAAAGAATGCCAGTGATTGTTTCCTCGTGGGTGATGTCTTGTTTGTAAAATGGCGGCCAACACGGCTGCCAATAATAATCTTTGATCGGTATCTGAAAGTTGAAGTTTTATTCCGTGCACAACAAGTCGTGACTCAACGTGTCTCAGCTCAGTTGCACGTTTTACTAACAGGGGACAACTTAAACTAAATTAAAAACCTTCGAATTCAATCAAATGCCCCACTTTCCCCCCCCACCCCCCCCCCCCCCCCCCCACCCCCCCGCTTTAAAAGAATCCAACTAAAAAGGTTACGTTAACCTTTTGCGTTTTTTTTTTTGTTTTTTTTTTTACTGCGGCCATCAGTAATGTGATAAGACTTAGATCAGTGATTCTCAGCCTTCCTGATGCCGCGACCCTTTAATACAGTTCCTCATGTTGTGGTGATCCCCAACCATAAAATTATTGTCGTTGCTACTTCATAAATATAAGTTTTCCGATGGTCTTACGTGACACCTGCGTAAGGGTTTTTCACACAGGTTGAGAACCCCCGACTTAGAATAACACAACTTGCTGCAGAGAACAAATTTATTAATATTTTACATTGATCAATTAATCTATTAGTATGCATGTATTGATTAGAAATGATATAAATATAATACAAATGGAGAATATTTATTTTTTGGTTCGACTTATAAAAAACAACATAATTAGTGCGTCTTTTACCGTTCTTAACATATTATTATATTAATATCATCATTCATCATGCCCCTTAGTCCTTGGGCCGTTGGGGCGCCACAGATGACATGAAAACTACCCTTCTCCATCCCTCTCTGTTTTCTGCACTACGCACAGCATCGCCTAGTTTCAGTCCCGTCCACTCTTTGATGTTATCTTACCATCTTTTTCTCTGTCTTCCTCTTCATCTCCCTCCTCTCGTTGTGCCCTGCATAACATCGCATTATTGTCAGAAGCATAAAAAAGGCGCCAATGCTTACAATAAGTCGTTGAGAAGCAGAGAGAGTAGGGATGGGGCTGACAGATTGAACATGTATTCTGATTAGCGTAATAATTTTCATACCATTGTCAATGACAAACATTATATTGACTCAGTCATATAACCCTTTGTTACGAGATCTTCTCCCTTTTTCTGGGTCACCCTGGACAGATATTATACATTTTGAATAACATTAATGAATCAAGTCATCGCTTGACTTTTAGGGCTATTCAGCCACGAGAAGGCCAATTGTACTATTATTTCAAGCAAAGATTAGATTAATTTACTTTTCATCTATTTTTAAATCAAACATTATGAAATATTTATTTTTAGAATCGTATAATAAGGAGATTTTTTAAGTTCAGTGTCAACATTCGGATTTTTAGATCCTGATAACATTTTTCTTTTAAAACTCAATCAGCTGATATACCACCTTTTATTTCCGAGAAATAAAATCGCGTATCATTGAATGACAGCTTTTTAGGGCAGAAAATAGGTCATGGAACATGCATAGCATTGCAGAGGTCAGAGGTCGTAACCTGCCTGCTAAAACTTTGGTACAATCAGAGATTACCTCCACGCGTTTGTTTTTTGTGGTTACTTATGGAAACATAACAACTAACACACTCCCTAATATCCTATCAGCTTTGAATCAATATTTAATATTACAGAGGTTTGGAAAGGAGGGAGGCAGAGGGTCGATCCGCCCCGGGCGGCACTTTTTTCTTTATACCTAGGGGCGGCATTTTCGTCCAACTGCAGAGTCCCTTTCGTGGAAGGGGGGTGGGAAGAATTTTGGTCCGCTCCGGGTGGCTCCGACTCCAGCCACGCCCCTACTATATCATGAAACTCCTTTTGTTAAACGGTAGTGCTAAAACTAGAGGCAAAAGCTTCACATTTTCTCATTGATAGATTTATATTATATCATCCCAAGAGAGAGATAAGCTAATATTTATGAAACCCGTATATATTTGAGGCACAAGTCTAGGTCTAATTATCATTGACAAAAGTAAACCTACTTGGATAGAATGTTAAGGCCGGAAAGAATAATAGAAACTGGCCGTAATTATAATAAATTTTGAGCAATGAATCTTGTAACCTATAATTTTTGCTTTAAAAATGAACTCTAAAACTGTTAATTCTGGATGTTTTTGATATAAGTTTGTAAATGAAATAGGAATTATCCCTTTGTAAGATTCTATGTAGGCCTACATGTCGTGACCTGTTAGCTCAACTGGTTTCATTGTTACTGGTAACATTCACATACATTACCAAAAAAAAAAAACAAAAAAAAAACAACAACAACAGAGAAATGAATAACACAACCTTCATTGGGCATTGAATAAATCACCACTCATACCAATGGTGCAGAGGCGTAGCTGCAGTGTTTGGCGCCCGGGGACAAGATTCATTTTAAAGCGGCTCCCTTTCTTTTTTTCACCTCTCAAACTCATTGCTTTCATCAACAAAAATAATATCAAAGCACATTTTGGCCCCCCTATCTAGCATTGCGCTCAGGGAATTTGCCCCCCCCCCATAGCTACGCCTTTGCAATGGCACAAAGGCCGTGGTCAACTGTGGTCGGCAATACCACACTATTTTGTTTATTTAAAACTAGTTATATTTTATCTCTAAGGCTAATGTCCATATTTCTCATTCCACGATTTTCGTTGATCGTTCAGATCTGGATTGCTTTAGAGCAGTGGTTCTCAACCTTCCTAATGCCGCGACCCTTTAATACAGTTCCTCACGTTGTGGCGACCCCCAACCACAAAATTATTTTTCTTGCTACGTCATAACTGTAGAGTATATGTATTTTCCGATGGTCTTATGCGACCCCTGGAAAAGGGTCAGGGTCATTCAACCCCCAAGGGGTGGCGACCCACAGGTTGAGAACCGCTGCTTTAGAGAATACAAACAGATTGCTAATATTTTGCAGTCGCTGGTTATTTTAACATACGATATATTTAAATTTTATTCATACCATTTTTAAAGAGATAAAAAAAAAAAACCGTAGTCACTGTCCATTACGTTAGAACCACTGGTGCACTGCAAATACTTCATTCATCTATTTGTTTTATGTATGCGATGGAAACGTACTGACATAAATGAACATGCACCAGCACCATATCTGGCAAGGTGTGACTCACATGCCACTAACGACCTTAGAAACAATTTGCCAGTGTTACAAAGGTTCATAATGTATGGGTCCCCCACCCTCTCTCTCATTTAATCAGTTCTCATCAACTGTTTCCTTTTTTTTTTTCTTTTTTTCCCCCTCATTTCTAAACTAGGTGTGGGGAAATGTCTGCACTTCCACTTTTTTTTCCTTTACATCTCCTCTAAGAGTCAAAAAGACTAACCTAACATTGAAAATCAAGTCAAAACATTTACCAGGTACAGTGCTACAACTAGGTTTGTAAACGTGTATCCAGGAAGTTTAAAGGAATGACCAGGATAAGGATAAAGAATACAAAGCTGCATATAGCTGTCTTTTGTTCAGAGAAATGATTGCCTGAAAAAAGACTAGTATAATGCAGGAATGTGATATTCATATATCTAAATTTTTATGTGAATTGGAGAGCCACCAGACAATAATATTTGAATTTCTCAACAAAAAAAGAAATCAATTATGAACTGCAAAGAAATAATCTGAAATATTTTTATTCATTTATAAATTTAATAAAAACAGAAAAACAAAATATTAACTCAAGATTTCTAACTTCCATTTTATATGAAAGTGTTGGGCTCTAAAATTGGAAAGCTTACTTGTACAATAACAAATGATGTATTCCTTCAACAATTAATGAAAATAATCCATAGGAAAATTTATTATTCTATTTCTGAGCTGTAAAATGCTAATAGAAACTAAATGTATAGTATTAGCGACTCACGTTTAGTTTCTGTTTACATAAACATATTAATTCTATGAAAGTTAGAAATAGCTAGTCAATAGTGTATAGTATAATGGCCAGTCTATAGTGTATTATTAATAACTACTCTATAATGTAGGCTTATAGTATAATAGCTAGTTAACTCTATAGTGTATTGCATAAGTGATATCATAGTCTCATACATGACAATGTTTCAGCTTCAGTTTTTGATACTTTCCACAAAAAACATTAAAATGATTATATTTTGTAATGAAATATATTGTTTGTGTTATTGTATGTGATGTTCACCTCTTGTCATGGAATGTGCAGCTGCAAGCTCTGCAAGTTAATTTACAGACACCTGATGGCTGGATTTTCTTTTAAGAGGAGAGAAGCTTGTCCATAGTGGTAGGTTCATTATCTGGTGAGATGATAGGTATGACCACCAGGCACCATCATACAGCTGCTGGCTGTATTTTCTTTAAAGAGGAGAGAAGCTTGTCCATAATGGTAGGTTCATTATCTGGTGAGATGATAGGTATGACCACCAGGCACCATCCTACAGCTGCTGGCTGTATTTTCTTTAAAGAGGAGAGAAGCTTGTCCATAGTGGTAGGTTCATTATCTGGTGATATGATAGGTCTGACCACCAGGCACCATAATAGTGGCAGCATTAAGGGTAAAAAAACAACAAATATATTATTTGATTTTTTTTAAAACTTTATTAATTACAGGAATGCAATCACAAACTATTGGAACACAGAAAAAAAATATTGGAGACAGCTTGTCTCATTAGGAGACAGCTTATCTCATTAGACATGATTACAAAAAAAAAATGACTTCAGCATCAACCAGTCGAGCGTATAAAATATTCTTGGCAGTTCTATACTAGATGAGAATCTGTATTACAGCAGCAATGAAAGACTCCTTCAAATAATAGTTTCTTTAAATTCAAACCTAATTTGATAAATGGCAAAGACTTTTTTTTGGCCAAATTATTTACATATACTTATAATATAGTAAAAGTTGGCCATGTATTATATAAAGCTATGAATAGCTTAATGCCAATGAGTGATGTTAAGATGATGTACAAGTTTACTTTACACTAAACTTGTCTTGTTAGCATTTGATAATTTAGTGCGGTGAGTTCAGTTATATTTCAGTAGATTCGAAATTGCTTGTGCTGAAGCTGAATACATTGTCCTCATCAGAATCATTTTCAGATGGAAATCCTCTTTCCACCATCCTCTTCCCAACAAGATCCTCAAAGTTTTCCCCCTCAGGCCCCCCCTCGATCACATTATGGAGATATCTCATGGGGTTGGGTAAATCTGATGCATCATTGAAGTATTGTCCATCTGCTCCATAGAGGTTAAGGGTCACTTCCTGCTCATCAATACCATGATGCTCTTCATTCATGGCATTCTTGTCTATTGAGTTCTCAGATGTTTGGCTAAACAATAGAAAAAGAAACCATTAAAAATTCCACCATTGGCAAAAAGAAAAAAAAAATTTAATTGTTATACATTTTTGCATAGACGATAAATAAAAAATATCATTAAATGTGTATGGTTGTGTGATCTCTCAAGGTTGAGAAACATTACATTTTATTGATGCCACATGAAGACTTTAATATGGTCATCTCCAGATTGCTCTGTGGCCAGGTGATGAAGGCGACATGACATTTGCAAAACTGGTATTCTTAGCAACTATTAACTGCTATAAGACAATCAAAATCTGGATAATCTCAATTTATGAAGCAAATAAGCCTATAGACCTTACCTATTAAGGCAAAGGCTTTGGTAAAATTATACAAAGATAGGAGATCAGATTAGAGACTTGGATTAGAAGTAGAAGGAACATACTACCTGTAAGAATCACTGTAAGCATCACTCCCACTTTCATCTATCACCAAGTCATCTCTCATGAAGATAGGATTTTGGCTGTAACAATATAAGATAGATTTATTTTTGACTGCTCTCCTGTTGGCTGTGCAGTCAATGGCATAAAACATTGTCATAGTATTGAACATTTGTGGGCAGTCATTCTCATAAAACATTGTAATGGTAATGAAAATTGTTAGAATATTATTAAATTTACAAAAGCAAAACATATTTTTTTTAACATGGTTGCCTGCTGTACAGGTACATAGTTTAAGAAACAAAACTATTTAGGAAAAAAACTATTATAGACTATGTTTTAGTGTCATTGATATAGAAAGAGTCTCCACTTTGATCTATATTTCCACCTTTTCTTCCCTTCATGTCAGGCATGAAATACCCGAGTCTTAAAACTAGTCCTGATACTGTTCTAACTGGTTCTATAAAATTATAATTTTATATTGATTATTTCATGTTTGATTCACACTGTGATCATTCATTGTCCACTTATCAACAAAAAAAAAAAAAATGAGAAACTATTTTCTATAAAAGGTTTAGCATTGAAGGAATGATCAGGTTTGGATCAACCAAAATATTTCAATAGCCTTTCAAAAGTCTATACAAGTCCTGATTGATCAGTGCGATTGGGCTCATGTAGCAAAGAAGGCATGACAGAATGCCGGTGTCAGAGAATTTAATTTATTCTATTTAATTAGGGTCGTCATGGTCCACTAAATAAACTGATAGGTCAATAATTTAAATGGATTCCAAGAAAGTGTATTTCCTTCAAAAAAATCTTCTAAATAAAATGCTTACGTTAACAACTTGACTGGCTGACAAGTGGCCCGTGACACTTACATTCCAGAACTTAGATAAGCGAACCATAGTGGTATTGTATTTGACCTTTATGAAACTCAGGACTAGGAACATTATGAAAATTCATGGTGGGGACAGAAATCTTTAGATGATTCACAAAAGATTTTTTAAATCAATATGTTAATTCAGTAAAATGTTATGTCAGCAGTTGTATAACTTAATCATTTAACTAGAATAGGCAACTAAAATGAATGCTTATGTCATAAAGTCCCTGAATAGCTATAGCGACTGACATAAGAGACAGTGAATGACATAAAGAGATATTGGCTGACATAAAGAGACACTGACTGACATAAGAGACATAGAATGACATAATGAGACATTGACTGACAAAAAGAGACATTGACAGAAATATAGAAAAATTTAATAGATGGTTTTCAATTCTCACTACAAAAACTATCAAATACATCACAATTGGTTAAAATTATATCACAAGCCTCATGTGAAACCAGTATGTTAATATATCAACTTATGATGTGTTCAATAATACTATAAATAAATAAATAAAAATTATAGGCTACTGAGAAATGATGAAAAACTGATTATAAAAGAGAAACAATATAATTGAATATACAGACAGCATTAAAAATTTAGTAGTGTTTTTTTTCTTTTATCTGAATTACAACCACTTTGTCACATTTAAAAAATTTTCATGAATTATAACTTGATTTCTGATACAACTTCTCCAAAGCAAGGTTATAGTTGCAAAATCTCATCTGACTTAAGTTAGATGCTTAGATGATGCAGCTTACTATTTATCTTGTGTGATGTCTTTTATTTTCTTTATTTTTACATATAAATCTCAAATGAAATGTTAAAAATTTTATTTTAGAAAATGCAGAAGGCTCTTCTAGAAATATTATGACATAATTATTAAAAGAACCATGTAATTTAAGTTTTACTTACAATAAAAGTCAGTGTATAAAGAATAATATTTGTTATATATTTTTCCTATTAAGTTCAAACTTACTCTTTGATTCTGTCATTGTCCAAGCCTGGAAACTTTATTGGGTCCATTCCTTGAAATATTATTAAAAAATCATTGAATTTTAAACTCATAGATTACTGATTTATTAAGTTATATCATAATTCTTAGAAAAAAGAAATCACCCAATAAATAAAATGCAAACACAGAACTATGATGTATATTGTTCTAGTTATCCTAATTTTCAAGTGCAGAACTTATATTTTTCCTGGAATCGGGAGGGGGTGTCAATTGAAACATTATTCAATCAACTGATATTTTATAACTGGAATAAATTTGACTCTTCTTCCCACTCACCATAGACATCAATTGTAGCAGCCTTAAGTTTTCTTTTAAACCTGTAAACATAACAGAAAGATTTTTCAGAAGGAAATCATTTGTCATGTATGAATAATTTAGATTAGTGTTTCCCAAAAATGTTTAATTTGGGTGGACCATTGGATAAGTTTCCCATTGCACCTGGGACTTGTACCAGATTTAAAAATAATTTTTATCGTTTTATTTGACCCCAAAATATGTAATAATAAATGGTTAAATTCATGATCAGCCAATGGGAGAGCAATCTTTTAAAATGACCATTTAATGCTATTCGATCCAAGCTGTTTTTGTTATGGTTGTTTATTTTTTTCTAACTTTGATCCAGTTTTTTGTCTAATGCTGTGTGGTCCACTAGCAACGGCACTTTGGGAAAAACTCATGTACGTGAGATTAACTTATTTTATATTTTGATGAGGATTTTGTTTTGCATTACGGTAACTGGGAGGTATATTTGCAGAAGTAAATTAATTTTGAAGAACGTAACTCTGTATATTTGATTGAAATTATCCACTTTTTTCCACACAAGAAATATTTGAAAGATACAGATGCATAACAATTAAGTAGGTTTTATTACAACATGATAAGATGCAGGCATATGTTAGGAACACATTTTATCATGTCAATATTTGATGATTCATTACAACAGCAAAAAAGTAATGTTTTTAATGAAAATTTTACCTCTGAATATTATGTATCAACATATACAAAGTGATAACAAAAGTGATGGCAATGACAATAATCACTCCAATGAGGATGTACTGAGTTCTGCCATCTGGTGAGCTCACACTTTTACTGCTGGCCTTGTCCCCAGTCTGAACAAACAAAGTCATTTACTTAGAGGATCATATCTTATACAAGTTAACTTAATAAGTAAAAAACGCAAAAATTAGATTCAGACAATTTTGTCAGTGTTAATACAATATGATAAACTAGATTTAATACACTATTTGGGCCTTAAAAAAACAACAAGGGTAGTGTGGCTGAGGTGGAGACCATCTTAAAGATTAGCACCTAAATCTTTTTTTTTTTAAATTTAACAAAAAGCTGAAACAGTTTTTTTAACTGCCTAGCCGCAATCTACTTTGCACCCCCCTTAGAAAATTTGCTAGGATGCCAGCTGAGAAAAATGTTAAAATTTGATTTTTTTACACACAAATGTTGTCAGCACAAAATAATCTTCCTCTCTACACGAACATTCTGAGTTATTACACAACTGTGTAAGTCAGTAACAATTAACTATTTAGATTTAGATTTAGCAACACTATAGTTTAGTATAATATAAGACTAATAAAAATTATTCCATCTGTCAGATTCTTTGGTTATATAAAATATAGTAAACAATGCTTACTTCACTCTTTATGATCTTGTATCGGTTTAGAATATTCACTTTATCTTTGGAATCTAATTTACTGAAGATAAATAGTGTTAGAAGTAGTTAGATTAAAATAGTTTTAATTAAAATAAAATCATTATGAATGGATTAAAATGATTACTTCTTCAAAATTGTTGTAGGTTTCAAGTATGTTGTAATGCACGTAATTATAGGCATGACAATGTAAAGGAAAAGCACTTTTAAATTTACGTATTAACAGTACTGTTTAAGTTGAACTTAGATGAAAAGGGTTTAGCCGGCAAACAAAATATATTTTAGACATAAATTACCTCAGAAGTGTGGCTCCATCAATAATTTTTCCTGTACTCTCTTCCACTGCATGGACCACCAAAACTGATCTGGTAATATAAATAAAAGTATTTTTAGTTTGTTGAAAGTTTATTGCAAGATATCTAAAATGGTTGTGATTTAGCAATATAATAAATTTGATACAGTGCCTATTTAATATATTTTTTAGATTGCACATCAAAGTTAAAACACACAAATTATTTACTTTGACAATAAACAAAATTTGTGATAGGAACATTGCCATTGGGGAAGTGAGTTTTACAATATATGATGGCTGATTTTTGCCCTTGAGAAATACTTCAAAAAACATGTCTTTAAATTTTTCTAGTTAAAAAATTATCTTTATGAGAATGTTTATCCATTAGCTGAAAATAAATATGTGCAATGTCATTAAAACATTTCCATTTATTTGGATCAATCAAAGAATTATATAGTAATCATATAAGAGATGGCAATGTTCTCTCAAAGTCATAATAAAATTTAACTTACTTGGTTCCATCCACAGTTCCTTTTTCATCATAGAATGGCATGATGTCATCTGGTACAAATCTGTAGCCCTGCTCACTCAGTTGTCTGTGAGGTCATAAGTTTGTAGATGATATATGTATTATAGATGGATATTTAACTATTCCCCTCAACAGTTTAATTCAATTGAGTTATGGTGTGTCAACACACAATATTTTGGATACTATGTCATATAAGGCTATTGTCTTGAGGATCTATTTATCAATGGTTGGATCAAATGCAGCAGGTGAAAATATTACTCTCTCATCTTAGAGCTACAGTTCATCAACTATGATCCAGGCTTATCGTCATTGTATTTTGATCTCCCCTCCATCAAGAGTGACCCTGCTCATATAGTCTGGACTTGAGGATATGATTAAATACTTTGCACAGAAAAGAGAAGTCGGTGAATGCAATAATGTATGACTGGTTTATAATTACTTTGAAGACAAGTATTTGTGCAAGTCCTGCTTTAGTTCTTGGTGTGGTTATACAATCTATGTTTAGCTTATTCTGGGATGTTAATTATGAATTATTGTTTTATTTTTATGAAATAATACACATCTTGACATGCAGAACATTCCAACGTAACAGTGTAATAATACATGAAGTAACAATAATTATTGGATACCATAGTGTATGTTGAAATTCTATTGACATTAATACTCACTCAGTTACTTGTAACTGGAAGTGTCTCAGCTCATCCTCTGTGTTAAAAAAAGACATGTGAACCACTTGTGTGTCCCCGACAACATAAACCTGAAGATGTCATACATAGAATAATCAATAACATTGGTGCAGAAGGCTAAATATACTATATAAAGTAATATTTAAGTAATAATTATTTGGTGTGTGTTTCATGATCTATAATGATAAAATACACATATTTAAATCACTATATAATAGATTAAAATTATATAATTTTTAAATTAATTTTAAGTTTACAGCTTTACATGTAATAGTGATTGTAGTGCTTGGGGCCAACACCTGTGCAGGTATTTCATTTTTTAAATTTGTAGCACGAGGAATATCAGTCATGTAAACATAAAACAAAAAAATACAGGATTAACTTTATATGTTATAGATGTTATAGAAAAAGACAAAAGTGCCACTATGGGTGATCAACCCCTTGCACTCTTATAGGTACAACACTACTCATCAGTAATGACATGGATTTATTCATATTTGTATTTAGCAAAATGTTACCCCACTTCCTTTCAACTGTGGCTTTTAATATTTTTTAGCTTTAATACAGACTATTGTTATACTCAATGATTTTCTCACTTGGTCGATTTTATCTAAGCAGTCTTTCCCCAATTGCAACATTTTTCCTTAAACAATATTGCCAGTCTTGACCTTGGGAGACAAGTTAAGCTAGATAAATAGATTTTTTTTAAATACTATGATTCTTGTGAATTTTCACCAGCTTTTTTAACATTTAATTTGCCATCAACTTTTAGTTCACCTTCAAGTTCAGTGTATCATTTCCACCGCTGTCATTAACCAGGACTCTAAGAGTTAATTCACCAAACTGATCCTCTGGAAACTTAAAGTTTGTTCTGATGGTTCCATTGATTCCAACTAAAATAGGGTCAGCCTTAACCTTAGGAGACCAGCCTTTTGACAGCTGCTCGTCTGCCTGGAGATCACCGAGCTGATAGAAATGGTGTACACTATTGACCTCTGTGTCATTATCAGTCACGTAGTCCTGAAAATTTAATTATTGCTTTTGAATTTATATTCCTTCATTGCTAAAAACTATGCAGAAACTTAAATCTGCTCCCATTAAAGGCATTCAAATTTGCATTTTATTTTTAACTTAGCCTAATTGTTAGTATGTAAAGAGGACTTGGACACTTCTTAAAAAATACCATTTTTACAAACAAGTATAAGGAGTTGCTTTTTATTAAACTATTGAAATAAAAAATTTGTGCAGGTCATGTTTCAACAATGCTTTTAAATAATTCTAGCTAAACAGAGAATATCTTCTAAATTTGCTTTAATCTTTAGTGTTAGCAATCACACTCTTTGCAACACTCCTCAAAATCAAAGACAAATAAATATAGCTTACCTTTAGGTTTAAAATAATATTATTAGGCGCTGTCTTAGACAAGAAACCTTTAGATAGTGATCTCTCCTTGAACACTGGTGGGTTGTCATCTATGTCCTGTATGTTTACCGTAATTTTTAGAGGGGAGGATTTTCTGTTGTCCACGGGAGAAACATTGTCACAAGCATCAAGTTTTGAGATGGAAGAGCTGTCGACAGCCCGGAGTGTCAGCTGCACAGAGCTGATTGTTTCACGGTCTAATGACTTGACCACTTGTATGACCCCCTCTTTGCTGTTTGAGTCAGTGGTTATAAGAAAATAATCTTTCCATGCATTATCTGGATCATCTGGAAGAGAATAACAAAAAAGTATTGAAACATTATGTCAGACTGATTCTAGTCGGAATAGATTTTTAGACCTACAGGAATCCAATTGTTGGGATTAGATCTACATGATAATAAATTAAATTTCAATGTAAAAAGTCTTAAATGTTAAGGAAATTTTGTTTTAATGTTGAGAAGACAAAATTTTATTTTTTATCACTAGAAATGTAAAAATCAATGTAAGACACTGTTGACAAATATTAATGAAGTATGTTTATTGTATTGTCTGATGTTTGCTTTTTTTTACCTATGATATAGGTAATAATTGAGCCTCTATCTTTATCTGTTGCCCTAACTCGACCAACTTCCGTCTTGTCGCTCTCTTCTTTAACACTAAATACTTTAGTCTGTTCTTGAATAAACTCTGGAGGATTGTCATCAACGTCATTCACAAGAATATCCAGGACTTCTGTTTCTACTGTATTTTGTGGTATTCCAAAGTCTACAGCTTTGACTTTGATCTGTGTAACCAAAATGTACAATAAACAGTGAAGCTGATTAGAGGAAATGATTTTAACAGAACCTTTCTCTAATTTGTATTTAATGAATGATTAATGCTAATATGTTTTTAAAGAAATTTCTTCAATGATGGTAAGCCTATATGTTTTCTAATTTTAATAAACTAACTGTTTGCAACATCTCTTCTCCCCCAAATTAACATACCATCTTTTCTGAAGAATCACTAAAATACAGACCTGTTTAGCCCCACGATTTTGCCATAGTAACTGTTTTTAAGCCTTAGACTAAGACACTATAACAAGCCTTAAAACTATGTATTCTGACATTTTTTGTTTGTCTGATTTATTTTAAAAAAAAATTAATTGTCGTCTTTTCAATAAAAAGTTAATGCACTTTTTGTGTTAACACCATAGTAACATCGTAAGCAATCAAATATGAATGACATCCTTTAACAAATCCGAGAACCATAACTTGTATATTTCTTTATGTTAACTTATGTAAGCAGCTGAGTGGATTTCCTAACACAACTTGCATTTTGATTGTTAAACACATTATTTATACTGATTGTATTTTTAAAAAAATTGAATTGATATATAAGTTTAAGGGGTGTAAGATAATTGATTACTGAAAAGGAAAGACATAAATAAACTCCTTGTCAAAATCCTTACTTTAAGTAAACCATTCCCATCAGCATCAAGGGCAGCAGCTACAGTAAGCGAACCAGTCTGTGCATCTAAATTAAATAATTCCCATCCTGGTGCATCTGTTCCATTAACTAGATAGTAATGAACCAATCCATTGGTAGATTTCTCTTTGTCTGCATCAGTAGCATTAAACTGATACACACTGAACCCATGACGGGCACACTGAAAAAATACAAGGATTTTATTTTCATTAATTACGTTTTTTATTTAGATTTTTTTTAATCTGTTATTTTAATGGTCATTACGAATCAGTGGCTATTAAAAACCCTACGAACCAGTGGGTATTAAAAACCCTGCATTGTAAAAACCATGCATTGATTAGTTATGTAATTGTCTATTGCCAGGAAGTCTTCCAGAAGTGCTGAAACTATTCATTCAAAGGTCCATAATAGATAAAAAGGAATGACTTATTGTGCTAGGAATGTAAACAGAGAAAAAAATTTCCTCAGTATTGACAATCAGAATTGAGATATTGTGAGAGTAAGAAATTCAATCCTCTTATCAATCTCAATGAAATAAAGATAAAAGTGTTATCATTTCATGTTAAGAGCTTGGGTTTATTTAAAACATTTTGTTTTTTAAAAATCTGTATTAACATACGTTGGGTGAAAATCTTTTCAGTTCAACCAAAAGATTTTAAAAACAACCATAATTATTTTGCATTCAAAAGATTTGTTCAAGGGTCTAGAAATCCATGTCTCGTGAGACTTAAAAAGATTTCTTCAACAAATGTCCTGAGAGTGTATAAGAGAATGTGTTTTCATTATCCCAATTATGACAAGATGCTTACCTCAGGGATGGCAGGTATTGGCCCTTTTGAGACAAAAACAGGAGAGTTTATGTTCTCATCCAATATAGTAACTTTTAGACTAGCATTGGCTGATTTGGGAGGTATTCCTTGGTCAGTTGCTGTAACAACATAACTGAAATGTACATTATTTAATTAAATTAGATAAATCAAAGATCAAAAACATTAAAAATAGTATTTTGTAAATAAAGAAAGAAAGGTATCAGATGAATGGAGTAGGAAATTTCATTGTTTTTGAATTATTGTTTTGAACTGTAATGCAGTCTTAAATAAGATTTCCTAACTATGTTATTCCAGAACAGTACTATTAAATAATAGGAATTAACTTCTATAAAGCATATTAATCATTTGTTCAATAACTTTGACACTATTATTTCTATATGCGGGTTAAAAAATAAATGATTGAACTTTGTAGATATTAATAATTAATGTATTACTTTTTGTTACAGCAATATTAAATGATTAGCCTGCTTTTGTTTAATAGATTAAAGACTTCCTTGTTAGAAAGTTAAGTAAGAAAAAAACTCTTAGAGAAAGTGAGAGCAAAGAACAGATTGCAAATCAGAGACACAAGAAATAATCTAACTCTACAATATCCAAAGTGCTTGATCAAAATTTATTTTTAATCATTTTTTTTACTAAAAACTGAATCTTTAAATGTTGAAGAACTTTTTACAGCAGCATCAAGATCAACACTACCTGTATTCTCCAGGCTTGTTTCTTAAATCTGTTCTATTAACACTGACTTGACCTGTTCTTGGATCAATCTTGAAAAAGTCTTCAACAGAAGCATTAACACTCTATACCAGGGTTTGAAAACAGAAATTGATGTTCAGTGTTTTAGGTAACATGAATCCAGTAAATAAACATGAAAAAAGTTCCCCAAAAAATATATTTTGTCAGATAAGATCTGATTGACAACAGTATTTTAAGACATGTATTTATTGCATACAAGTACTTACATCAATATTCACAAACAATACTGCAAAAGTTTGCTCAGTTGTAAATATAGTTAAATTGTATAAGATTGACCTAAAATTTACACAGACTTTAAGACTGAATGATATAAAAATTGTTTTTTTTTTCAAACTGAAAATTATTATTATTATTATTTTGTATGTTACATTCTATGAATGTACTAGTGATGAATTAAAGCTGAAAATCATTTAAAGAAATATTAAGCAGTCAGAAGCTGATGGACAATAATATACATTCTCCTCTGCTAGAACATTCTCCATTTATCTGAAGTAATGGGGTAGATTTCATCAAAGGCCAACAAATTGCTCCTATAATGTTATATTTTCATTCTATTACTGGATTTTCAAAGCCTCAAAAATAATGTATTTAAATACTCTATTTTGGAACTTTTTTTGTTTTTGGATTTCTTGATCAAATAATGAACTACAAAATCTATACATATAAATACCTTTAAAGAAAATGTAATATTAGCATTCTGGCCAACATCCTGATCCTTTGCTGAGATCATTTGAGGTGAAATAGGGACCAGATCATTTTGTTTACTGATTTCTGAGATCTTGGCAGTGTAACCTGAAAGTAAAGCACACCACAATAAGATATGATTGCAAAGAGATTCACCTGATAACAAAAGTTTTAGCTAAATCCAATTTCTGTTTGAGAATTTCTTACTTGGAATTGTAATACCGAATTCCGGTGAATTGTCATTCGCGTCTGTCACTTCAATTTGTATAACAATGGAGGATCGTCTCCTTTGTTCCAGTAAGGGATTATCTGTGGCGAAAACTGTTAATGTGTAGCTGGACTTTTTTTCTCTGTCCAAGGGTTCTGATACATAGATGTCACCCTGAATGAATAAATGGTAAAAATTAGCTTAGAAGGAAGAAGTAAATTAAGCAAATCCCCTCTACTTGCATAGGAGCCAGAATGAAATGATCAATACATTGATTGTGGGCCCTTAATACATAGAAGAAGAAGAAGCCTTTCCTTGTCAAAAGAGATCAACTGCATTTATACTTTGATGTTGCCTTCTTACTTTATTTGGATTTAAAACATCACAGAATCCACTATATTTTTTAATATATCACTAGGGTCAGTATTAAGAATAATTTTTAAAAAAAAAAAATAATTTAATTTCGACGACAGTTTAAAGTTAACCTTTTACAAATCATTTTTTAAATCATAATGATATTTAAATGGGAAGCCCACTCACTGTTATAGGATCAATTCTATATGGGGAGATATCCTTGAATTCAAAGGTAATGTTAGCATTGGGTCCCTCATCTCTGTCAGTGGCATTTATTTTTGTGATGAATGTTGTATTGGCAGAGTTTTCCTCTACTGTGAAAGATGTTTGATTGCTACTAAACTCTGGATCATTATCATTGATATCTAGAACTTGAACCCCAATAGTTATATTGGAAGATAATGGGGGTCTCCCATTATCAGTGGCTACTACAGTGAAATTCAGCTTGTCCACCACTTCTCTGTCAAGCTGCTTGGAAACTGTCAATTTACCTAGAAATAAAATCATGAATAGTTGTAGCCTAAATATTTGGTTAAAAAGACAATAATGTAAAGAAAGTATAGAAATGATGTTTACACTTTAAAACCAAAAAAATCTTTTTCCCAGCCAACACTTTTCTTACCTGTTTGGGTTATGTTGAAGTACACAGATTTGATAAGGCTTAAAGTCACAGTTTGATCCTTGTCCTTGTCAGTGGCAGTCAAGGTTGTCACCTCTGTGTCAAGCTTTGTGCCCTCTGATACACGCAGGGATTGTTGAGAGCTAATGTATAATATTTCTGGTGCCTCATCATTGACATCTAATATAATGATGGTTACAGTGGCTGGAAGAGACAAATCAAAATGTTGTCCATAGTTACTAGTGCAGAAGAGCAAAATATTTGATTTTTAATTGTGTATTTTTTATTACTGGGTTTTTATTTCGTTTTCTTGACAATCATTTTAAATTGTACCAATTTTTTTTAAACACTTTTTGGTTTTTCCATCATATTTTGATATTATTGTATTATATTATTCTAAGTTAAAACAATTTTTTTCTGCCCCTTCTGTCCTAATTTTTCTATTTGGTTGAGCTATTTAGATACCATTAATCCCTCAATATTAATTTCTAATTAAAATGCAGAAGATTCAGAAATATTTATATAATAATCAGTCCTGACTCTTAATAACTTAAATTGATCAACTCGTGCTTTTGTCGTAGAAAATATCAAACCAATTAATTCTTTGCCTGAAGCTCATTTCCATTGGCTGACCACATAACCTCTAACTCTATTGCCAGATAGATAAAAAAGTTGTCACCTGTGGCAATTTGAGGTTTTGGCATCTCAGCATTGACATCTTCTACAGTTATTCTCAGAATGATTTGTTCAGCTGTTTCTCTGTCTAACTGAGAGTTCACTGTGATGGCTCCTGTCTTTTTATCAACTACCAGCCATCCCTAGAAAGTGGAGGTATAAATAACTAACAATAATAAATTGAAAATTTTTCTATTGGCATAAAAAAGGTCAGAAGATTAAGTTGCTTATTTAGTAAATGCTTCCTTAAAATATTTCAATAACAAATATCTAATTTTATATCATTCAGAATATTTTCAAGTTAAAGGTCCTTTTGTTTTCTTACAGTTTTAAAAGAACCGTTACACCACACCCCACCCCAAATAAATATTATTATAAATATATATATATACCAAAAATGTAAGTTTTTAATTTCAATTATACATTAATAAGATGTCATATTTATTTATGTTAAAGACATAAACAAGAACTTTGGATCTGTTTTACAGTAATCAGCTTTCATTATAAATTATGCACTGCCATATTTCAAATGGTGAAACAAATAATAATAGGTTATTTGATGAGTATCATTAGCAACATTAGAAATTTTGATATGAATTGAAATAATTTGAAATTCAACACATTTCTTGCCTGTACAATTGAAATATTAACATCCCTATCTTTTTCATCAAATGCTCGGGAAGAATCCCATTGAATAGAATACTTTAGGTCAAAATTGCTATCTGGATCAGTGGCCACAACTGTTAAAATCTAAAAGAAAAAACAATATCAAATAATTTAAATTTGTTTGAATTGATCTACAAAATTTGTGACATGATAATTACATTTCTGCACAAGTAAATTAAGTGTATATAAAGCCCAACAGTAAGAAACTATCTTTTGGTCTATTTATTTTAAACACAGAATCACAAAACAACTGGTGAAAAACCAATCTCTAATACACAGCAATTATAAGCCTAACATGGCAAATAAAATGAAATATGTTCATAGTTTACCCCAGTTCCTGTGGCAGCATTTTCATAAGTGGAATATTTTTGCTCAATTTGACTTGAATTAAACACTGGTGGTGAATCATTTATATCAGTAACTGTAACAAGGACAGTGGCTAATGAACTCTCCGCTGGTGACCCCCTATCAATAGCTAGCACAATGAGATTGTATGTTGCTTTGTCCTCTCTATCCAGGATGGCTCCTATACCTACACTGATTTCACCTGTTGAACTGTTCATCTGTTGGGGGATTTTTTAAAATGCAATTTAAAGTCAGCATCTATGAAGATAAACATTAAATTGTAGAAAAATTTCTCTAATGAATATCATAAGTCGCTATAAACCAAAATAATATCATATTTTTTATTTGATAAATAACAATATCATTATATGGTAAGTCATTAATTCTAGATGATTGTATCGTTTTATATTTATCACAAATATGATGCCTTGAAATATATCACACAAAATAACATGCCTTTGGAACTCATTCTCCAAGGACATCACGTTTCATTACAATACTTAGATAAATAATAAATAAAAAAATTCATAATTTATTCAAATTTTAAAAATTGACAAAAAAATTAAACATTGTTACACTTAACTAAATTATTTATAGCATTTTGTTATAATTAGTCATTTAAAAAGTGGTAATTGTTAGCAATATTTCACCTGGAATTTGTCCTGCCCTCCAGACTGGATGACATAATATAACTCATTGTTAGGTGATGTTCCATCTTTATCAGTTGCATGTATTGTCCCAACACTGACATCTGAAATAACAACAAAAATTAATTTATGATGGACAAGGCAATAAATTATAATGAAATAATTTGACAATGAAATAATCACCCAGGAAATAAGCACCAGCAAAGTGTTGCAGCAAGCAGAGATGTGAAGGCTCAAAATTGAAAAAAAAACGGTATTTACTGGCTCTGTGAAATCAGCAATCTTTTTTTAAACTGGTGGATTTAAAATGAATTGCATGTTTCGTAATAAAGCTGCTAATTAAATAATGAAATATTTAAACTTATTTTTGTGTTAAGTTGTTTAAAGTATAAGTTTAAATATAAGGCCTACTTTTTTAATATTATACTTTATTTAAATGACTTTTGAAAATGTAGATTTGAAATTCTAACATTGGTTTTTAATTGTTACATATTACATATTAAATATTGCAGATAAATGAAATCACAAAGCCATATGCCAAACTTCAAAATTCTTCTGACAGTAAAATTTACTTACAGCCATTGAGACTTTTCTTGTCATTAGAATATTTAAAACATAAAATCTTAATTGTAAATGTTTTACATAAAAAGTCAAATAATTAAATAAAAATAAAATTGTTTGATTACAAATATATTATGAAATACAGATTGATTAATTTAGATTCAATGGGGGAAGTTTTATACACAAATTATTTAGACTAATAAATAGATAAATGATTTTTTTAAATTAAAAGGTTATAGAATTTAACATAAATTAAATATCAGCGGTAAAAGTTATGTGACCTGGTGGAGAGTTTTCCTTTACAGTGAATTTATAAGATGCAGAAGTAAAGTTTGGTGCAAAATCATTTACATCCTTGACTAAAACTTTGACAATAGTGGAACCATTCAGCTGAGGAGATCCTAGATCTTTAGCAGTTACTTCTAGCTGAAGAAGTCTATTAGATAGACCCTTACTAAGGAGTTCCTCAAAATCAAATGTTTCTAGCAAGGTAATTTCTCCAGATGTATTGTCTATGTGAAATAAAGACCTGTTCCGCAGTTGTGAAAGAGTTTGGGCGATGGAGTAGACAATCTGACTATTATTGGTTCCTGGCTCATCAGCATCACTGGCCTGTAATGATACATTATTTTTAAAAATACATTTTTACTTATTCATGTATTCATCACAGTATTGTGCAAATAATTATGATTTAGTTTTGCTTCATTAAGAGTCCACAGTTGAAAAGAAACTTAAGAAATATTTACTCTATCTCTGAAAATGTTCAATATATAGTCACCAGCCATGAGTTGATGAGTTTTATGCCCTGAATTTACAGAGCTGATGGTCGTTTGATATGTCCCATTTAGATATTCCTTAATGGACCTTCTTTTTTCTGTTTAAAATGCTCAGTGTAAGTAAAATGATTCTCATCTTTAGGTATGGCTACTCTTACTGTACTCACCCTAACATAAAGACTTTAGGTATAGCTACCCTTACTATAATCACCTTAACATAAAGACTTTAGGTATGAATACTCTTACTGTAATCATCTTAACATAAATTTTTAGGTATAGCAAATTACCATGCTCACCTTAATAAACAGTGGCAAATGGAATGACAAACTGTTTTCATCAACTTCGGCACTAAACTCTGTTTTAAATATTGGAGGCTGATCATTGATGTCAGTAACCTTGATATTCAGCTGGATGGAGGTGTCGAAATATCCTGAGTCTGTTGCTCGTACTGTTAAACTGTAAGTATTTCTGGTCTCCCAGTCTAGATCAGTGGAGTTCAGAGTAATCTCTCCTGTACTGCTGTTTATAATAAATCTGAGGAATTCAAATGAAAGAAATTTAGTTTAGAAACTGATATTGACATTTGTGTCAAGCTATTAATGATTTCTTTTTAAATCATTACAGGAGCTTTCGGTAAGTAATGATTAGTGTTTCTACTCTAAAAACCAGTCTTTTCTTCTGATAGCAGTGGTTGCTAAAGATATATCCCAATTTAAAAAAGCATAAAGGTGAGAGTTACATGGGCTGCTTTTTTTAATCAAATTTTTGTTGTGGTGTGCAATTTTCATGACATTAAATATTTCTTTTATAGAAATTTTTGTGATAATCAAAGGCTTTCTGCATGCAAATAAATACCTTGTTTGATCTCCATCTATGCTGTAGTGAACTATTCCAAAATTCCCAGCATCTGCATCTTTAGCCTATTATGAAAAGTTAAAAAAAAAAAAAAAAAAAAAAAAACCATAAAAAAAAAAAAAAAAAAAAAAGCCTTCTCAATATCAAAGGTTAAACTAGATTCCATTTCAGTCTTTACACAAAAAAAAACTTACAAAGAATTGCTTTATATTTGAAATTTTAATGTAAATCAAAAGGCTTTTTTATTTTGAACATGCAAAAGACACAAGTTTATATGAAATAAGCCTACGCTTGCCAACATTTCACGACAACTTTCTGCAAAAAAAAATAAATTGGCAAAATTTGGTCCTATCAAACTGAAAATAAAGACTGTATATTAAATGACTCAGAAGGATTTATTTCAGCAGAAGCGCCATGGACTAATAATTACAATTAAAAATAATACAATTAAATCTAAAAACTAAGGTAATTAACGCAAACTTATAATTAAAAAATTTGACAAGTAAATTACTATGGAAAAATTAAATAAACTTTCAAATAAAAATAGCATATTTATAGCATCTACAATTACTATACTGATGCATTCACTTGTTCTTTATGCCCATTTTACCTCAACAGTGGTCACTAAATGACCCAATTTACTGTTCTCTGGAACAGAAATCTCCAGTGATGGTGTTTTGAAGCGGGGGAAGTTATCATTCTCATTATCAAGAAAGATAGTAATAGTGGCTGTAGTGGTATGATGCTCTGGAGTCAATCGTTCCATCACAACAACCTGAGTTTACCAGTCATATAATAAATCATACATAACATGTGTATATTATAGGTTCTGCAAGCAATTATTTCCAGATAAATAAAAAGCAAGCATTTATCTGAATTAATTTTAAAGTACAAGGTAATTTCCAAATAAAATTGGATAATTTTTTCATGGGTTTTCTAAGTAGTTCTTACTGGTTTTCTTTGGAAACATAAACACTGTAGATAATAAGCTTGAAAAAATATATTTCAGTTAAAGCAGATTTCAGAGGAACTCAGAAAAGATTCTACCTAAAATATTTGACCTTTTCCATGTTACATTTGTTACAATTCCGACATTTATTATTTTACTATATTGGTTTACAGTCTACAACTCAGGAACCAAAACTATGCTTAGTTAAATTAAGCACAGTTAAGAGCATTTTTTCATTTATACTGGATGCGAAGTGAAATTATTTTTCTGAAAAGTATGTCAGTTACAATGGAATTCCCCTGCACCAGCTTTGCAAACTGCAGAGCCTGATCACAACAGCATTGAACAACAAAACAATCACCACACCTGATATAACTTAAAGATTGCAAGGTTTAAGAAACCATATAGTTTCAATGAAAGAATTAACAAAAAATTATAAGAATCTTATCTATATATTAATATTACCTCAATAGTAAAACTCTCATTTTTCTCAAAGTCCAAAAGACTTGAATTAGCCACAGATATAACACAAGGGGTTTGTTCCTCTCCTTGTAATGGGGAGATAGTAAACACGGAGTTGTCTACTAAAGAAATATTATACACGCTGTTGATGCCCTGAAAGAAAATATGAGTTTTATTACCTTCCATTCTTACATCTGATAAGGAAATAAAGTGGAGTTAACAGATGGCATGATAATATATATATAATTGAGTTAAGAGAGGAGTTCTAGTAATATATAAACAAATACACCATTCAAAAATTACTTTCCTAATCAGCAATAAAGAGGGATGTTTTTATATCTAAATTAAATGCCTCTCAATCTCATCCTTCTCTCTAAAATTCTTCAAGCTTAGGTTTAATTTAAACTTGCCATTTTTGGATTTGAAATATTTTCAACAGATTTATTTCCCTATTTCTCATTTTCCAACCAGTCTAATTCAAATAAATGAAAACGCTTTACGCTAGTCATTTAGATATAAAATAAATTCAAATCATGTCCATGGAAGAGATACCTATTGAGAAATTTAAGTAAAACTCAAAAAGTTTATTTACATTTATAATTTTATGTGACTTACTTCATCTGCATCATTAACTACAAGGGCTGTCACATTCTGAAATTTAACCTCACTTCCTATAGGCATGTTTTCTCTTATCCTAGCTGTGAAGTTATTTCCATTCAAGAACACAGGAGAATTGTCATTAGAATCCTCAATGATGACTGTTAAAATGGCTGTGTAGAAAGTATGCAGAAAAAGGTTATTGTTAAATTAACAACAAAATGTGGTTGGTATTCTAAATAAGCAAGAAAACCTGGGTTTTGGTATTGTAAACTTTGTGCAATGATTCATTAGGCTTAAATGGGTCAGAAAATAAAATATATTCTTGAGATGTGGACTGACAACAATATTTTTTTCAAAGCATCAAAGCTATGCATTCTTCTACATGGTAAGCACCCATCCTATATGAATCATTTAGCTTTAACATTATAATTTCAAATCGCTATTTTCATAACATGAATTAATAGAATATTTTTAAAAAAACTAGTTTAAAAATTAAAAAGTATTTTAAATGAAGCACTGAAATGAAAATTATTTCTTGGCCTTCTTATTTTATTGTTCTGAATGTTATTACTGGGAATGCTTTTTCAGTAATATTTTGAAAGTTTTGAGTTCTTCATCATCATCATTCAGATCAAGTGGCCATTTCGGCCTGTGCACTTTGGCCTGCAGCCATGGTTAAAAATGTACAGTTTCGGATGAAAAAAAAATTATCCAATAGGTGGGTATATTCTTAAAATGTTAGTTCAAACTATAAATTGGTAAAGATACAATTGTGTAATTTTAGCTGGAAGAGAGTTTGGCAAAAGTACAAAGCCTGTGGTTACAGGGGAGCAGTTTATGGTTGACACAATAAGGTACCAGGGGTGTTGCAAGGAATTTTCATTGAGTGCAATATCATACAATCTACATTCCTCCATGTACAGAACAAGCTCTACCTGTATCATTTTGTTGTTGTCCTACTGCTGCTCTATCCTCCACCATCAAAGTCAGTTGAAATCGTTGTATGGCCTCTCTATCAAGATTTTCTATAGCAAAAATTTCACCACTTGTGGCATTGATTCCTATGTATTTCTGAAATACAAAGAAAATAAAGATAAATGTTGTTGTAATCAGAAATCAAATAGATGGACAACATATTTTTAGCTTCAGAAGGCTTGATTTTTTGTTTTTTTCTGCATTCAAAATATTGTTCACTACAGTGACAGTTTTATTAAAAAGGCTTATGAAGAAATACCAAATAAAACGAGATGATTTATTTGACTAACCTGTAATTTTGATCCATTGGCATATCTGCCGACCCCATCAATGCCTGAACTCTCAGACCAGACAATGGAGTAAAATAAATCCTTGTCAAGATCATGATCTGTGGCCTTGTCAACTCCTATCATGGCTTTGACGTTTTCTCTACTGTTTACTGTCCTTGTGTCCTGAAAATTTAGGATGGTTGAATTCAAGTTTTACAATTGATATAAACAGTTTATAAATCAATTCTTGTGAAAGAAAGAAAATATAAATACACTAAGGCTTACATGCCAACCTCCCAAAGTCAGAAATATTTATATTGTTCCATTTTACATAAAGTATAAACATTAACAAAAGCTTGATTAATTATTTACTTTTAATTTTAATTCCATAATTTTCAAATTTAAGCAAACACTATTAGCCATCTCTCCAGTTATGGACATTTTTGGATAGCTAAAATCAACAGACTAAACTTTAAGGAGGTACCCACATTTTTTTTTAAAACTAACGGGTATTTCAAGTCTACTTGAATTTATGTCCTTTGCTTCACGGAATTAGAAAAAAATTGCTTTATAACTATTGGGGTTAAAAGACACAATTCAAGAACAACATTTTCGTTGCCATTTTTTATCTAAAAATAAATTGAATCCACACCCAAAAAAAAACAAAGATCATTTCAAACAGACCATTGACAAAAGGCCATCAGCTTTGTAAAATGTCCAATTATTTTTAATGAAATAAATAATTCCCATAGGTATTAGTTTTCATAATTCTGCTTATTTATTCCTCAACTAGATCATTAGGCAAAAGTCAGTAAGTGGCACAACATCAATTCATTATATTAAATGTAATTTAGAAAAAACATTACTTCATGTTTTAAAAAGTAGTCTAAAGTAAGAAGTTTTAAAACTGATAAAAATCTGTGTACACTTATTATGTAAAGAAAATATGTTCACCAACCCATGTAAACTGTGGTGGTGAGTCATTGACATCCAGTAAGCTGACAGTGACTGTTACAGTAGATGTTAGTGGTGGATTACCATTGTCCAGTGCTGTAACTATGATGTCATAGTGGTCAATCTGTTCTCTGTCCAACTGACCTTTAACTGTGATACACCCTGTTGTGTTATCTATGTTAAATGTGTTAGCACTTAGAATATCTATCATATATGTTATTTGGTTGTTACTTGGTGAAGTATCGTTATCTCTGGCTTGAATCTGGGCAACATGGTGTCCTGGTTTTTTCAAAATAAGATTAAATAAATTATTAATTTCAATAAACTTTTTGAATGTTCCTACAATTTTTGTTTTGATCTGTTTTTTATACCTTTTTTTATATGTTCTTAGCTTTCATTAACTGGAAGTAAGCAATGTTTCTTATTAAACATAAAGTAAATCCCTTTCAGATTTATTTAATAATTTTTTTCTATGCATCTAAAAATTCCTGGGCAAATGCAGTGAACCTGCTAATATTACTTAACTACTCACTAGACACAAGAAGAAATAATATAAATTTTAATAAACTATTGTAAAAGTTATTTAGTATCTATGAATCTGTCAGAAAAATATTAGGAAAATATAATTATGTGAGTCCTTTAGTTTTTAGTAATATTACTTATATAAGTCTCCCAGCTGTGACTGAAAGAGTTACACAAATCTGACATAATGACAATTCTCTTAATGACAAAATGAAACAAAAATATTACTGCTAATGTCCATATGTAAATGTAATAAAGTAATACCTGTCATTTATAATATTTATATAAAATTTCTGCCGACCCCATTTTGTCCTGTTATTGCTGAAGGAATTTATGTATACTTTCATTTAAGATCATAAATATTGCCATTTACTTTACAATATACTTACCCAAGGTAACATTTTCCAATATTATGAAGGGTCCATTGCTTGAGATAAACTGTGGAGAATTGTCATTAACATCTACAACAGTGACTGTAATAACAGCTGTGCCAGATTTGGGTGGCACTCCCTGATCTTTGCCTTCAACAAAGAGAGCAATACCTCCTCTATAAGTCTGGTTGAGTTTTTCATAGTCTAGTGATTCCTTCAGATACAGCTCTCCAGTTATATCATTAATTCTAAAGTTTGACTCTGGGTTTTTTCCTGCATTGACCAAACTGTATGTAATATTACTGTTGAGGGTGTTTGGCTCATCTTTGTCTGTAGCCTGGAAAAGGGGAAACCATATAGGTTTTTACAAATAAAATATGTAAAATTTCTACAATTTTTTTAAAAATATTTCAAATACAAAAAATATTATTTTGGAGTGCTTAAATTTTAAAAAATGACTTTATCTAGAGAGAACATCAAAATATATTTACTTCCGATAACTTTATTTTAAAAAGCACCATATCTTATTACATTAAAATTTTGTTTTGTTAATTTTATATATATAATGACTAATTGGCATTACTTTTAAATATTGTATGCTGCACTGTATCAAGAAAATCTAGTTTCTACTTGCACTTTAATTAAGATCAAAGGGAAATGCTCACCTGCACAAAAAATCCTGGTAAAAAATATTTTTTATTTTCATCAATGGTCACTTTATAATTGGCTTGTGTGAATGAGGGAGTCTCATCATTAACATCAGCTACATTTATAGTCAGTTGCGTAGTGGCTATAAAATTTCCTCCATCTCTGACTGTGATAGTCAATATATAACTTGGTGTAACCTCACGATCAAACCCACTAGTTATTGAATACACATCCCCCGTGGAACTGTTAATGCCAAAACTGGAAGAAGTTTTCAAAGATATATGGTTAGGCTTATTATATTAAAATTGACATTTTATATTCTATATCAGGATCCCATACTAGTACCAGAAATAAAAAAAAGGGCAGGCTACGCTGGGCGGGACACTTAGATAGAATGCCAAATGAATGAGGAGAACAGAGGGTGCACCACTAAAACTCCAGAGAAAATGGCTCAAAGGCAGACCTAGGCTTAGATAGACGGATGATGCAGAAAAAGATCTACTACAGTGGATGAGAATCCAAGCATGGAAGAGAAAAGCATTATTTAGGTCTGAGTGGAAGGAAGTGGTGAGGCAGGCCATGGCTGTAGTGCCACAGGGATGGATGGATGATAGATTTATATTTTAAATATAGTTCAATGGGTTTAAATAAAGTTCTATTTAGTCAAATGTAGTTTTGACTAATCTCTTTTCATAGCCAACACTTACTTATGTGAGTCATCCTTAATAGAAAATGACAATGCCCCAAAACGTCCTAAATCTTTGTCAGTGGCCTTGATTGAAGAGAGAAAAATAACATCAAACCCAAAATGATAAAAAATTACATCTATAACAAAGAAAAATCAAGAAGATCAAAGTGTTAATTATTATAAAGGAACCTGAATATATGTCATTTATCAAATCCTGATGAATAGATGAATATTGACATGAACAAAGCTAGAATCAATTTTTTCAATTAGAACTAAATAAGATTTGAAAATGTTATAATCTGATAAAGAAATAACAGTCTCACAAGAACTAGTCACTAATGAGCAGCAATGATGGCAGAAGATAAGAACGAGAGTAGAAAGCGTTTATAAGTGAAGCCGTCCTCCATTAAAACATTAGGTACCTTTCAATGTGGAGTTTATTTTACCTTTTGGTTAATTTAAAAAAATAAATATGTCCAAAGTTTAAAAAAGCTATATTTCACTTTTGTTTGTTGCCTATGTTTGAAATACTATTCCAAAAATTGCAATACCTGTAACTTGACTCTTCATACCAAAGTTAATAATGAATATTGATAAGAATCATTTTTTTTTTATCAGTAGGTGTGTTTTATAAATATTAAGTCACACACAAAACATTTTCTGAGGGTAATTTTTTTTCAACAAATCACCAGTTTAATGACAATAAAGATACAAATTGTATTATTGTGATATTATATTGGTACCAGAGAAAATATCCTCTGTAGCAGACATAGGCTAACTTACATTAATTTTTATAATGCTGGTGTGATTTGTACTGTCTTCAGAAATGCTAGCATGGAATGGTGAACCATGAAACTCTGGAATATTGTCATTTTCATTCAGAACTTGTATAAATATGTTGGCAGAATTGCTTTGAAGTTTGGTCGAGCTGTGGTCAGTAGCAGTTACCTGTTAAGAATAAAATATCTTTAACCTTAAATTGAATCTTAATTTTTAAATAAAAATGAATGAACAAAGAGAAGCTATACATAAATAAGAAATTGATAAATATGAAATAATTTGGAATTCTGGAGAGCTTAATTCATATTAAAAAATGTACACACAAATACTTTTATTTAAAGATAAGGTTAAAAATGATTTATAATTATCTGACCTTCAGATGAAAACTCCTATGCTTTTCATAGTCTAGTAAACCAGCATCTGCGACTGAAATTAGACACACTGTTTTGCCTTCACCATAGGAAGGAGTGATGGTAAAAGCAGGACTTCCTTCCAAAGTTATATTGTACCTATTGTTGCCAAACTGTTTGAAATTAAATGTCCTTTATTTACATTCCAATTTTATTTCATAATTGACATGCTTACAAAATTTAAAATAAATTTAATTTCCATACCTATGCTTGCACTCAGGAGAAAGGGTTTCAGGAACTACTCATGGCAAGAAGGTGGATCTTGCTTTCTTTGAAGCTTTAGTTGGATGAACTTAATGACTTTATAATATTATTTATTAATATATAACTTAACTTTAGAATGTTTTATAATGCAATTATGTGCATTTTCTTTTAGATAGAGATCAAACATTTTTTTTTAAAAATAATATAAAATCAACTTTACCATAGATTTGTATTTTATTTGTAAAAATCAAAACATATTTAGTTCCTTATTATGTTTTCTATAACTTAGTTCTAAATTCTTGTTTAAATGAAACAATATTACTTACAGCATCAGGATCATCAATAGTTAAACCTGAAATGTTGGCCAATTTAACTTCAGTACCAGCTGGCATATTTTCTTGTATGCTGGCTTGAAAACTGTTACCACCCACAAAATGGGGAGAGTTGTCATCTTCGTCCTCTACTATTACTGTCAGCATAGCTATTAGAAAAAATACACTTTCCATTTAGGCTAATTTATTTCTTAGTTTCTTATTTTCATTTAATGAGGATGAGAATGAGTGAAATAGTCTATATAAATAAATGGATCAAATTATCGCCCCTTAACCCCAACTCCATTTTTGTTTAAACCTTTGATATACCTATACTTGCATTGAAAATAATTTAAACATTTTAATTACAAATGACATAACCCCCATCATATTGCTATCTGAAACTATTGCTAATAGACAAAACAGAGTTGCATTTTCAGAAAAAGCAGATATGTCCTCTATTTACATTAATGCCCTAAACATTTAAAGAGAATCATTATGAGTTTTTATTAGCTGAAATATAAAACATTAAATGATTGAAAACAGTAGTATATTTTGAAAGGTGGAATTTAACCTGGGGTTAGGCTACCACAACATTGCATGAATGGTTCCACCCTCACCACTTAGAATATTAAAATTTGTGCCTTTTGCATAAGTTCAAAAATTTACAGGGTATTTTGTTATATCTTGTCAGAAAGGGGATTTTAATCTCTATACTTAGCATCAGAAAATCAGACACTGGAGTCCTTTAAAGCCGATTTAAAGACACATTTATTTGATTAAACAATGATTGTCTTCCATATTTTCCATTTAATGCATATTGGCTGTGTTGCTCAGGGTTGAAATGGGTAGAAAGACTTTGACATTGTATGCTTGTAATTAGTTTTTGTAGTGTTGTGTTTGTTTTAAATGTGGTAAATTATAGATTTTTTTTTTTTCTTGTACCGCGCTTCGAGCCTTTGGGGATGAAGCGTGTTTTTGAAATACACTTTATTATTATTATTATTATTATTATATTTGGAGGATATTGTAATATTAAGTAATTATGGGAGTTTTCACATTCATCCATGGGGGTCCCAACCTCTTTTATTTAAAATATCTCAAAGACCATTTAACTATAATTAAAGTGTATCTTAGATAGCAGAGACAAAACATGATCAAACACATGTATGTCTTCTGGGTTTTGGTCCAGGATTTCGACATTTTCATTTGGTTTTAGTCCCTAGGAATTGTCAATTTACTTCAGGAAATCTGCCAGAAGCCTATTCAATGCGTGACGTTGATGCTCCCTGATAGGTTTATTTATAGTGTGTGCGCCAATTTGTTTTTGCATTCAAAGTATTAATCATACCCCTAAAGAGCTCCATCGTTCATCTGTACATTTGGAATCTTTGTAAGTATAAGCATTGAAGCATTTATATTTCTGTATTTGTAGAATGCAATTGTTATGGTTAGTAATGGAAGATTTCTATTCATCACTCTTAGGCAGTGTTTTAATCACTACCTAGCTCCATCAATTTGACTTGTAAACATGCTATAGTGATGGCTGAACATACAAGTGTCCACTGAATTCTTAGATTAGATGGAATTAGATACCAGTGTGTATGTGAGCATATACTAACTCTTATATTATATCCTTCTGGTTACACATACTGCAATGTGCTTATAAGCCAATGATACTACAGTATCCAACTAGTGAATATACATAATAATAATAAAGTTTATTTGAAAAACATGCTTCATCCCCAAAAGCTCCAAGCGCGGTACAAAGTCAACAATCTATTATTTACCACATTTAAAACAAACGCAACACTACAAAACTAATTACAAGCATGCCAAGTTAAAGTCATTCTACCCATTTCAACCCTAAGCAACACAGCTAATATGCAATAAATGGAAGATATAGTAGACAATCATCCCAGAAAGTGTTTGCGAAATAGATGTGTCTTTAAATCAGTTTTAAAGGACTCCAGTGTCTGGTTGTTTCTGAGAGCGACAGGAAGGGTGTTCCAAATTGTTTGACCAGCAAATGCAAACGTGCGCTTTCCGTAAGTCTCAAGGCAAACACGTGGTGTCGAGAGTTTGCCACTATCGGATGAGCGGAGTTGTCTAGTGGGTACATAAGGCGTCAGCAGCTCTTTCAGATAGGACGGCGCCAGGTCATGTAAGCAGCGGTAGCACAAAGTTGCAATTTTGTACTCTATGCAAGCACGCACCAGCAGCCAGTGCAACTCTCTCAGAAGTGTTTTAGAATGGTCGAACTTGGGTTTACAAAGAACAATGCGAGCCGCATTAATCTGTGCTATTTGAATTTTATCCAGGAGCATAGCTGGAAGACCCACCATGAGAGCATTGCAATAGTCCATGCGTGATAGCACAAATGCAGACATCAGCCTCTTTGTTGCATCAATTGTTAAGAAGGGCCTGATGTGACTAATCCTGCGCAGCTCTAGAAAAATCGCCTTGCACAGCATGTTAATGTGACTTTCCAAAGTTAGTCCTCTATCTAGGTAGACACCCAGGTAATGCACTGTTTGAGCTAACTCAATATGCACACCTGAGAGAGTAATTGATGTCATGTTATTTGCAGATTTTTGCTTCTGAGGGGTCGCGATGGGGATCAGCTCAGTCTTATCATCATTCAATTTGAGCTTGTTACATAAAGTAACTATCCTGCCATGTGCCAAACTCTCACATAGGAAATGGTTTAGAATAATATTACCAGCTGTATTAAATAATAAGACATTCTGCAATGCAATTTTGTCTTAAAAAGACACAGTCACAGCAATTGCTTGATACAAGTATCAAACTAACAGTTGTTGTAATTTATACCATCTAGTAACTGTCCTGCTTTGGGTGTATCTTACAATTGTTATTGCAGGAAATTTATAAATATTAAAGATAAAACAAAATTTTAAAAAAAAATCCTTGCCTGTATCGTTTTGGGGTGAACCGACAGCATTACTATCAGTGACAAGTAAGATGAGCTGAAACCTCTGAGTGGCCTCCCTGTCCAGTGTCTGGATAGGATAAATGTTGCCAGTTGTTTTTTCTACGTTGATGTGATTCTGGGATTCAATAATAATTTTAAGGCAATTATTTCTTAAAATTAAATAGCACCTAGAAATTTTGGCACATCATTTAAGTATTTTGTCCAACTTTGATTGGCCTAAGCAAAATTCATGCAAATATTCACTATTTCATCAAATTACCTTCAACACATTGCCATCAAGATACTGCCCATCACCATCAACTCCAGAACTTTCATCCCACAAAATAGAATAAACAAGTGCAGGAATTTCATCTAAATCGGAAGCTGTGTTAAAAGCTAAAAGAACCCTAGAATTTTCTTTGACAGACTTAGTCGCCGAGTGCTATGAAAAACAAAGATGATTTCAATTAATGACAAGTTGGTTTTTATTTTAAATTCTAATACAAATAGTAATGATATTTATTTTGTTAAAGCTTTATTATGAAAGGTAAAATAAACCAAATTTTCCCTCATGAAATGAAACCAAATCAATGTCCTTATCAATAAAATTAATACATTATTTGTTTAACATTAAATCCGAAAATCCATAGCAGAATATAAATTTTTTTAAATATTTTTTTTTGGCTTAGAACCTTTATAGTAATAAATAAATTTGATTTTGATTTGTCCTCAGTGAATACAAAAAAAAACCCAGATACTTTTGGATAATACATATTTGGTGTTAAGTAGTGTAGTTAGTGAGCTATTTATTTTATAAGCAGATTAATAGCTGTAGCCCCATATTTGAGAGGCAAGTGTTTTCAGTGTGATTAAAAGAGGACTATTAAATAAGCATCAAATATATAATTATATTAATTTAAATATTAAAGTTATGAACATGACAAAGAAAAAGAAATGTACCTACCCAAGTAAACTGTGGTGGTGAGTCATTGACATCCAGTAAGCTGACAGTGACTGTTACAGTGGATGTTAATGTTGGATGACCATTATCTAGTGCTGTAACTATGATGTTATAATGGTCAGTCTGTTCTCTGTCCAGTTTTTCTTTTACGCTTATAATCCCTTTTGTATCTATTTCAAATTTATTAGCACTGAGGACATCTATCACATACGTCACCTGGTTGTTCTCATGTGAAAGGTCAGAATCACTTGAATTGACCTGACCAACAAAGTCCCCTAACAAAAACATTAGAATCATATTTAATGGTATTTTAAATTAATTTTTATAAAAGATTTTTACATCAATTATTTTGTTTCAGATCCATTTCAAGATAATTTGTAAAAAAAAATCATGAGATGGGCTATAATTGAGATCTTAGCCAAATAGAGTAATTAGAAAAATACAATCTTACAATATAAAGCTCAGATCATTTTAATGAGCAAATATACAGTACAAATAATATTGTAGTTAATTCCATTTGATCAGATCTGATACAACAGGCAAATCTAATAACGTAATAAATTGCTAATTTCTTTGAAACTTTCAAAGAACTTTTGTCTTGAATGAAAAGATGTAATAATCAATGTTTATGTTGATACACAATTTTAAAAAGCACTGTGATAAATTTAAATTAAATTAAATAAGTAACCACAACCAAGGCATAATTATTAGAAAAAATATTTTAAAATAAAGCAATCAGAAAGCTTGGATATTAATAGGGCAAAAAATTTTTTTTTAATAATTATATTTATTTTGTCATACTACCACACTTTAAAAAATTCCCAAGAAATATAGGATTACTTAACGAATAGGCCAATGAAATTCTTAATCTAAAAATAAATGAAGAAATTAACTATAGGCAGACACTCAAAGGATAGGATACACCTATAACCAACAATAAAGGAAAGCACAGGACCTGGATGAATTTAAAACACTTTTGGATATCCCATGTCAATGCAGGTTAAAAAGCATGAATGAATAATGTTTTCATCTAGAAGAGTCCCTGGTTATATTAAAACTTTAAAAGAATGTATAGCAAAAATTTCAAAGGGAGCATTAGTTCAATTATATAATAGACATAAAATTACACTTAAAAATAAAAGTTAATTATTATAACTCATAATATTTTTTTAATGGTTTAAGTTCTGTTCAGATATGATATCATTGAGAAGTTTTAATGACACAATAATCAACTTATAAATGTGTTGAACATAAAAGACTCCAGGAATATAGCTGGCCTATATTTTTACAAACATAACTGATTTACATTACCAAGAATAAAAATTAACTGAAAGATTGTTACACTATCATGCCTGGTTTAAACTGAACTTATTTTCCCTCCATGTATACTGGAATGTCTAAAAACAAATGGCTTCAGATGTTAAATTTAAATGGTATATCAAATGTCAATTTTCAAAAGTTTTAAATATAAACACTATTAAAAACTATCAAGAAAAATTTGTTCACGCCTATTTCTCCTTCTCTTCAATCTCAGGTATCTTTGATTTCTTAAAAACAATCATTTTACTTTTTTTTCTATGTTTAAAAGAAACTACTATTAATATTTAATTTCAGAAATTATTTCAGCACATCTACTTACCAACACTGGCATTCTCACTAATGTTATATTTATAGTGGGTTTGATTAAACATTGGAGAATTGTCATTGATATCTGTAACTTTTACAGTGATTTTGCTGGTAGTATTTAAATGATGTGTTCCTTGGTCTTGAGCCTGAACAGTCAGAGAAAAAACTCCACCAGGAATATCTTCAAAATCAAGTGGAGTTTTAATGCCAACTTCACCACTTGTTTCATTTATTTTGAGATTAGAATAAAAGCGCTGTCCATCATCGAGTAGAGAGTACCTAACATCACTGTTTGGTGTACTAGGCTCATCTCTATCCATGGCCTAAGAAATAAATAAAAGAAACCCCACTTAACATTAAGACCAACTCCTGGTTGAAAAGAGTTTTATTTATTTTATCTGTTGCAAGATATTTTAAAAAATAAATTTTATAATTGAAAATTATTTTGTTTTCTTTGGAATTAATCTACTTAAAATTATGTATCACAAATAATTTGTTTCCATAAACTGTGTTGTGTTCATTAACAAAATTTTAAGTATGTGCACTATAATATTCAATGTTAATGTATAAAGTAAAAATTAAACATTTGTTATTTTAAAAAAATGTAAGTTATATAGACCTAGATTTCAATGCAATGAGAATAAAATGAATAAGCAATTGAACTCACATGTACTATAAATCCTGATACAAATTGGCTTGAACCTTCTGATATTTCCATATTATATTCCGATTGTGTAAATACAGGAGGCTCATCATCAACATCCAGCAGGTAAATGGTCAGCTGTGACATGGCCGTAAAATTTCCCAGATCTGTTGCTGTCACAGTTACAGTATAACTTGGGGTTGCTTCACGATCTAGGTCACTGACCAATGAGTAAACCAAGCCTGAGATCTCATTAATTGCAAACCTTAAAAGAAAAAAGTCACAAATTATTTAATTTGGTAAAGCTGTAGCAAACATAAAACAAATGGAAAACAAATTTAATGAACAATCTCTAAAACATACCTCTTATTATCATCTTTTAGAGAATATTTCACTTTCCCAAAAGCCCCAAGATCTGAATCGTTAGCCTGAATAAATAGATAAGGTAACATAGTAAATTTATAATAATATCTTCAATCAATTGTTTGCATAATGAATCTTTTTTTTGTCAGCTTTACTTAATTCCTTATAAAGTGTTAAGAATTATTTAAAATAATTTTTGTAATAACAGCTCGATAAAATGTGATATACAAAATATTGTAACATTATTCAAGAATAAACAATAAGGAATAGAAGATAAGAACGAAACACAATTTTTAATAATGAATATTGGCATTATGTTATAAAAACATATAACAGTAAAAGAATTCACAAGTGAGTCAACATAATGTAAGCATGAAGTAACCATCTCAAGTCAAGGGTCAACATTTTTAAAATAGACACTGGTATAGCATCAGTGAAGTCGTCAACACAAACATGTATGAACCTTAATCAACAACTTCAACATGAGGACTCCTAACTACAGTTTACAATGTCTAAGTGAACACTAGTAAATTATCTAAAGGGGGTCACTGGCATGTCACAGAATGAAAAAAAGAGGTCTATCTGAGTAGTGCAATGATTTAAGAGAGAGTCTTGTTCTGATATGTTCAGTTGAGCATTTGAGATGATCCAATGAAGCTTAGATTGATTATCATTACCTACGTGACTAATAGATGTGTCCGTATTGGAAAGCTATGCTGATGATGAAAGTTTATTTTTTGACATTATGGAAGATCAGGAATGAAACTGTCAATCCAAATTAGCACTTTTGGATGATAAAAATAAATTGTGTAAAAATATTTACATTGGAATTAATCTTAAACCAGACAAGTATAATATAGTTGTGCTTACATGGATTGTTGTCACAATGGTGTTTTCTTTAGATCCTTCAGTAATATTTCCTATGTAAGGGGCACCCACAAACTGTGGTATGTTATCATTTTCGTTTATTAGCTCAACTGTAATGGTGATTGTACTGTTCATTGACACATCATGAATATCTGAGGCTGTAACCTGACATTTTAAAAGAAAACAATTTAAAGAATGGAAGATGAACTAATGACACATTTTAAAATTCGTTCATAGAACTGTAACAAGAAAATTAAAAACTTGACAACTTAAGCCTAAGCCCACCAACAGCTTAAAACCTCATCAAAGAGTCACTGGTAACAACTTAGTCATATGCAACATCCCCCCGACCTCCCATTCTTTAATGACGAAAGGTCACATCTCCCTAAAGGTCTTAAATTTATTCACCCTAAATCATCCTGTGATCTCTACCAAACACTTTCAGATTTCTACTGCTTCTTTTGTTCCTTGAGACTTCCGTTTCATTTCAATTATTAGACCAAATTAGAAATATTGCTGTGGGGACTAAATGTGACGCATGTTTGTTCATGGGATATTTCAAACACATGATAGAATAAAATCTACACTGGACGCCTCCCTGAATTTTACAAAAGGTACATTGATAATGGTATTGAGGTCACCACTATGGAGATGAGTGAACCTGATCTATTCATAAACTTTGCTGTTTGTTCTTTCCACCCCTCAATTAAATTCACATCAATGGTCTCTGAGCCTCTGAGACCTCAGTTAACTTTTTTGGACATTACAGTCACCCTACACAAAGACAGCCTACTCACCTCTATCTACTTTAAATTACTGGTAAATTATTTATTTAGAGTTATTTACTCTACTTTTCTTTCGACCCTAAATCCTAAAAAGATTCCCTTTTTTCAATTTTGCCAGTCTGAGGATGACTTTTGGGACAAGGCACTGAGATGACTGACTATTTTTGATGTAGGTCATATCCGGAGCTAGTCTTTTCATCAGCCCTTCAAAAGGTTAAAAATATTGCTGATGCCTTTGACAATGGGAATAGGATCAAACTTATTTTCACATATCATCATGATCTCCTAGCCAAACTTGTTCTTTTAAACCCGTTCTTGTTTCCAACCCTGACACCCACGACATTTTCTCTTCACTGCCTCTCATTGTTTTCAGATGTGACAAGAATCTGTGAGATGTCGTTGTGTGTAACCACATCAGCGGTTCCCTCTCACGCTTTGGGACCACATCATGTGGATGCAGCTGTTGCAGCACTTGCCCTTTTGTCACCCACTCAACACATTCCCCTCCCTGAGGACAGTTTTCAGATAAGGGACGGTTTCCTTTGTACCAGCCATTGTTTGCACCCGCTGCCAGATGCAGTATCCAGGTGAGCCAGGATGCCGCCTCTTTGACAGATGTACTGAACACCTCCTATTTCTTCTTCTTCTATATTTTGAAGGCCCACGATCAATGTATTGATCATTCTGGCTCCTATATTTCAGAGGAATTTGTGATGTAACTGTGCATGGTTTTGAAGGGGATGATACTTCACTGGTTGTAAGGGCTACTCAGCAATGGTATTATGAACTGGGGGTTGGAAGACAGGAGGCAATAGACTCAAACGTGTCAAGTGTAGTCACCTCAACTGTTGCTTTTGGAAGCTTGTCCTAGTCCCGTATTGTCTTGGGCAGAAATGAGCAGTTCCTATGCTGAGTTCTTGTTTTTATGAACCGGAACTGCCTGTCATGGCCTCGTCACTGTCTAAGGGGAGAGAGACGAGTTTCTGTTTAATGCTGGAGCATTGGACCAGCTCATTTTTTATCTTGTACATCATGGAGAGCCTGGATAGTTGTTGTCGTTCCTCCAGTGGTGACCAGCCCAGTGTTTCCAGCAAGCTGCAAACACTTGAGGTGTTGCTGTAGCGGTTCAGGACAAAGCATGCTGCCCGTCACTGGTCCGCATCCAAACTGTCAATGTTTTTTCTGGTGATTGGGTCCCAGACTGAAGATCCGTACTCTAAAACAGCCCGACAAAGGCTTTATATGCCTTTTATTTCCAATTTGAGTTGCCGATATTCAGATGTCACCTCAAGGAACCCCAGGGCCTTGTTTGCCCGGTTGTACACATTGTTATTGTGCTCGTCCCAGCGGACCACTCTTTGAATGATAACACTGAGGTACCTTACCAAGGAAACTGGTTTAAGAATATGGCCATGCAATTCGTAAGGGTGGTGCAGAGGGGATCTGCTTCTGGAGACTGACAGGGTCTGGAACTTGACGGGATGAAATTCTATGCCCCAGCTCATTATAAATAAGCTAAATAAGGTGATTTTAAATATTTATTTGATTAAGTTACTAAATGAAAAATTATAGTTAGAAAGGTGATTGTCTTCTAACTCTGTTGCGGTGGGGGTTTTTTGGGTCAACTTTGCCACATTATACATTGACTACAGTTAATTATTTTTAGTCACACAACTTTTAATGTCACACCTAATTAGTTGATGTCTTCTGACTTAGTTCATTCTGGATATTCATTCAAAATAGTTGTCTTATTAAGCCTACAACAATATTCCTCCCTGCAATTTTCCTATAGTTTTTAACAATCCTTGATGGAATTTGAAGCTACTACTTTTTGGTTATTATGTCGGAGCCATAAAGCACACCTTGCTTGTCAAAAGAAAATTATTAATATTGGAATTCTTGGTTGCAAAATTTATAAAAACAATATAGACACTTTTTGTTTAACTTTATATAACTCTTAAGCATGCCAGTAACTGACTTCAACACAAAAATTCAACACAAGGGGCCAAGTTTATTTAAAGAAGCTTACAGTTAGTGTGAAATTTTGTTGTGCTTCATAATCCAATACCCTGGAGTCAGCAACAGTTACAACACAGGAGACTCTTCCAGCTCCTCGAGTTGGTGAGATTAAAAAAGCTGGACTTCCAGTCAAAGCAATTATATAATTATTATTTCCTTCCTGAAAGAGGAAACAAAATTTCATTCATTTGATTGATATAATGCACAATGTAAGTAGGGTAGGCTCACAGTACAAAACAACTACCAAGTAACACAAAATAATATTACCTTTTGTGCAATTATTTTTGGTCATAAGATTCAAATGCTATAGAAAACTACCAAATATAAGATTCAAGACTAAAATAACTTACACCATCTGGGTCATCTATGGTCAGGGCTGAAATATTAACAAACTTTAATTCACTGCCATTTGGCATGTTCTCCTGGATGGTGGCCACAAACTTGGAAGCACCCACAAATTTGGGAGGGTTGTCATTGACATCCTTCACTACCACAGTTAACATGGCTGCAGATAGACAAAAGAAGATACTCCATGAAATAAAATAACTCAGCAGAGAATAATTAATTTTTAAAAGTGTACAAAAAATTAATTTAAAGTTCCAAAAGCAATACATCATCTTTTTCAAAATACTTAGATACTCCTATTTGATCAGTAAGGATAATATATGAGGGACTGTGTTCAGCTGTGTGAAATAGTGGACCAAAGTATGTTGAGGATTGAAATTAAAAGACGGGATAATTAAAAGGATGTCTAAATTAGATGCCTTCTTCAGCAGATGAGACAAAAAAAGATTCAAAATAGAATTAGAAATAAAAAATTCTCTATGTTAGAAATGGAAGTTAAGTCATTCAAAACCAAAGCATGCTTACCACGTAATTCTGTGGTTCACACTATCAAGGAGATTATGTGAGGTAAGAAAATTTAAGTATTATTAAAGTAAAATGTTAGATTTTGAACAACAACAAAATGAGAATAGAAATGGAGGGAAATTGAGGAACACTAGTAAAAGAGTATTTGAATTAAAATATTTCATATTGTGATTTGGTGCTGAAAATCTGAATTAATTTATTTTCATTTATCAGTAAGCTAATCTGTATAGATCTAATTTCTGCCATTAAATTTACCAGTATCATTTTGTTGCGTATCTGGTAAACCATTAAGATCTTCCACAAGAAGTGTCAGTTGAAGTCTTTGTACCACTTCCCTGTCTAGATTTTGCTTAGGATACACTGTTCCATTTGAGCTGTTGATATCTATATATTTCTAGAGCAGCACAAGTAAAAAATATACCGTAATTAAAAAATGATTTACATCAGTTTATTAAGAACAAAAGTCTCAACCTTAGACCCCACAGACAACTGCATGAGTAGCTTACAGCTGTAAGTTAGTTGTTTCTTTATTTTAATGTTAAGTTTGTGAGATTGGCCCTAACTTGCAGCTCACATGGGCTAGAGTTTGAATCCTCAGTAATAACCTTCTAACATTAAATAAAACAGCAAAGTTAAACATCTTAAACTTTTTCTCTTGTTCTTATTTTTTTTGAAGGCTAAAACATTTTGTGTCTGATCTATTACACACTGAAAGAAAATTATAATTGGTTTTATTAAAATATTATGTATTCTAAAAGCATAAACCCAAGTCTTTATACATATTTAAATTATAAAAGTAGATATCTTGTATAGCATATAATAACTCTTAAGTGGAGCTATGTATAAAACAGCATTCAACTTTTGATGTTTATTTTTTTTACTTTCTACTCTAATGCAAATTCTCACTTTAAAAAAAAAAAACTGGTTAAATTTGCATAAAATTCAGCTATGGTTCTTGGTACCTGCAAGTAGCTTCCATCAACAAATTGCCCAGCACCATTAACACCTGAGCTAGCTGACCACAAAATCGAGTATCTCAGGTTGTTGTTTGCATCAGGATCCACCGCTTCAAGTGTGTAGATGTCTTTGTTTGAGTTCTCTGTAACTTCAGTAGTTGCTGATTCCTAGAAGTTTTAATAATTTTTATTCTACCCTTACAAACAAAGTTCATGTTTAAAAAACTTCAATAAAATGGCATAAAAAATAAAACATTTCTTATGTCAACTAGTTGTTGAGTGCCCAGAAGCTTATATTAAACCAACGAAGCATACAAAAAAATATGATTATATTTTATTCTAATAATGATGAAAGGTTCTTTTTTTCATCTCATAAACATGGTTGTTACTTTATTAGGCTAATTAATCACATTATGTTAACTAAAGAGTGATGTAAGGTACAAATAGTAACACATATGTTGTGATAAAAACTATTTTATTAAAGGAATCAAGATAAAATTATATCTTTAGGAGCAACTAATGAAAATCTCAAATAGTGCATTATCTAACAAAAAACAGGAACAAATAAAAAATGATTTTGATAAATTTCACTTTTGAAGGTGGGGAAAAATTTAACTTTTAATAGCTGTTGATAAACTATTGTACAAATTATCTTCATTTATAAAAAATTTCCTAGGCTTTAATTTAAATTGAAAAAAAAACCCATAAAACTAAATATCAAAACACAGTTTGTAAAGACTGTAAATTAAATTTAAGATATTCCAAATGTTAAGTAAATGGCTTTTTTCTCAGATGATAGTGACATTTATATTTTTTTATGTTATAATCTGTATTTGGCTCTTTATAAAAGGTATTTTGAGTTCATAGCTCTTTTTAACATTGTCAGCTACATTGCTGAAGGCTTCATCAGAACATACCCTAATAAACTGTGGTGGGGAGTCATTGACATCCAGTACACTGATGAAAACAGTTACAGAAGAAGTTTGTGTTGGCTGACCATTGTCCAGTGCTGTAACTGTTATGTTATAATGCTCAATCTGTTCTCTGTCCAGTTTATTTTTAATAGTGATAATCCCTGTGTTATTTATGCTAAATGTGTTGGCACTCAATACATCAATCATATAGGACACTTGGTTGTTTTTATTCGATTTGTCACTATCAGTTGCTTGTACTTGTATAACACTGGTGCCTGAACATTAAATTTGTATATATTACATGATGAAGCATTACCTGTAACATTAAGTCAACTAATATTTAATTGTGAAATTTATGTCATGCTTTTGCTACATTAAACAAGCAACAGTAATTTATCAAAGTCTAGAAATAAATCCAAAGAAAATTTCTCAAACATTAGGCCTAATTGTTCCCTGGGATATATAATTTTTTAACTAACTGAAGATAGAATACAGACAAGTAACATCTTATTCCCTTAGCCTTCTCATTTGTTATAAATCAGTGAAGTAGTTATCAAAAAAGTGGCAATTTTATTTATTGAAGAGATGGGTGAAATTACTGTTTATACACAGGTTAGTAAAATGTTCAATTTAATTATTTTTTTAATTCCTCCCATCATTCATTAGTCAGAACCATATATTATTTCTGAAACTGAAGTTTCAAACTGAAACAGAATTAAAACTTGTAACAAATAACATCATGGTTTAAAAAGACATTTGAAAGTTTTAATCTGCTTTGACTCTCATATTATAATCAGTGTTCGCATAAATGAGCTAAATATAGCTTATGGAGTCAAGTTTTTCAACATAATTCCTTGAAAAATTATGGAAACTAATAATAAATAGACATAAGTATAAATATAGGGAAATGGTGGGAATATGTCTGGTATTTTGAAAAATTTTAATCGCAACCATAGATCTTGAATGGAACCAAAAGCTAATTTGAAACTAAAATCTATTAATTGCAAGTTGGCCTAAACAGGGAAATATTGAAAACATAAGTTGAGTTCTACTAGATGAAATTTGAGAAAATAAGAGATCTTTTTTTATTTGATGATGGCATATTTTCTATAAAAAATTGTCTGTTTGTTTTGTCATTAATTTAGATTAACATTATAATTATTAAAAATTTACATAGGATTAATTATTATAATCAAATCCTAAAATAAACGCTAATTCAATTTAATACATTTTGCAAGTACTTGCCAAGGGTAGCATTTTCTTTGACACTATTTGAGTAAGAAGATTTAGAAAAGCTTGGTATTTCATCATTGGCATCAACAACAACAACTGAAATATTGGCTGTTGATGAAAGAGCGGGCACACCCAAATCTTGAGCCTGGACAGATAAGATGATGATGCCTCCATTCCCCAGAGCTTCAAAATCTAAAGCAGATTTAATGTAAAGTTCTCCAGTCGTTTCATTAATTGTAAAGTTGGATTTTGCAGGTTCTGTTGCACTTAAAATTTTGTATTTGATTCTACTGTTTGCATTGTTTGTCTCATCAGCATCTGTGGCCTGGTAATAATAAATTAGAAAATAAACATCTGATGAAACTTTTTATTTTAAATACTTTAAAAAAATAAATCATGATGTCTATTAGGAAATAAAAACCTATGATTACATATAAAATTAAAGATTATGCTATGGTGGTTTCTATTTTTAAAAGACAATAATTGAAGCATAATCATAATTTTACATTTTTAACATTTTTACTGTTATTTTAGGGCATTAATTACAAATTGATTTATTTTAAGTCCATAAATATAATATATTATAAGCTTTTCTTAAATATTAGTAGTAAAAAGTCCAATTCATCCATAGACTATAGATATATATTTCTGTAGTAAATCAAGTTTATATGATTTTTAAATTGTTATGGTATATATTTTATCAATTGAGTGAGTAAAATCCCTCAAAATTTTATTAAAGTGTTAATAGTGTTCTAGAATTTTCTAGAATGTAGCACAAAACATAATGTGTCACAATAGCAATTCTATTAGCCAACACATACAGTACAAAAACATTGTATTGCCATTTTCTTTTTAAAGAAAAGGTAACACAATCTTAGACAGAACACACATAGACCGACCGATGGAGAAAAGTGCAGTAGAACAGTTTCACCTAGCCAACAGTCCACCCAAGCTGTCTAAATTTAATGGCGAGTGCAATGCAGAGCAGTTTGTGAAGGAAGTAAGGTTATTCCTGCAACTTCAGCCGATGCCCGCAACCTCAGCGGTCATCTGGATAATAGGTGCCCTGGAGGGACGTGCTCGTCAGGACATTTTGGACCAAGCTGTTGCTACGATAGACACTCCAGATAAACTACTGCACTTGATTTTGCAGAACTGGGGTGATCATCGTGACGTCACAACTCTAGCGGCCGCATTCTACCGTAGACAACAATACCTTGGGGAAACTGTCGAGGACTATGCGAAAGAATTGCGCAACATTTTCATGTTAGCTAATTCTGCACGACCTGGCATTCTCCCAGAAGACATACTGCGTGACGTATTCATCCAAGGTCTCCAACCACCCACCCTACGCAGAGATGTCAAGGCCTACGCAAGGCTACACACTAGCCGCTCATTTGATGACGTCCATAGGGAAGCTCAACGGTGGATGCGTGAGTACATTTCTGATGTCACCACCGCCCAGCTCTCAGCATCACCGTCACCTTACCTGACCCAGCTGACAACACAACTTATGGCTCGTATTGACCCTCAAGTGGCAGCCAGAGCAGAAAGGTATAACCCTCCATCGCCTGAAAGGGACTGCCACGTCCGGTTTACCGAGTCGACACCAGCACAGCAGCGACGACATAAGCGCAAGCGACAACCTACACGCACGGATGTGTTATGTCGTTGGTGCAGTCGTAGAGGTCACACAGAGCAGGTATGCTGTGCCAAGAGAAATTACATTTCTCAAAGAACAGGACAACCACAACACCTCAAGAGGCGACGGTCAAAAAGGAAATCCAAGACACCATTTGGCCATGATGCTGCTCACGACCAGCCGACTGCTGGTCAGCATGTGTCAACATATGTAAGAGAACCTGGTCAGTCTAGCCCTACTGTTGTTGGAACTAAATCTGAGAATGTGCGATCCACAAACTCAGACGCAAATACAATTCTTAAACTTCAACCCGAAAGTGTGACTAATACAGCTGGTCATATTGACCGTCGAAATATTAGGAAGAGATCAACAGTTAATTTTTCTGACACTGTTTTACAGGATGGTTCTGTTAGTGTTGCACCAAAACAACCGGCAGTTTGCCCAGATGTTGAGAGAAGAACCGTTATCATGACCCACACAGTAACATTAAAAACAAAGACACACGTTTTTAATTCTAAGGGAGAACTTCTGAATGTTTTTGAGAAATCTGAAATTTTATTAAAAAATGAAAGTGATCCAATGGAAGAAGCCCATCAAACCACCGAGGATTCAATCCCTACCGTGGTTTCGCCACCACCAACTTCCAGTACAATGAGTACAGGGCACCTGACCGATATTAGCTCATCCTCACAAACAAGGACATTAAGTCACGACTCAAAATCAACCGTGTCCAGTTTGGATGCTATCCCATCAAGACAGGTTTCAGTACAACGGCATGACACATGTGTTCCTGTCATTACTGCTCCCCAACATTTATCACACTCACGAGGTAAACACGTGACCACAACGCAAGTCGTACCTCCACCAGTAGTACCTCCACCAGTAGTAACTCTAACAGTAGTACCTCCACCAGTAGTACCTCCACCAGTAGTACCTCCACCAGTTATACCACGCAGATCACTTAGCATCGCAAATCGAGAGAAACGGAAATAAGGCAGTGGCACAAAAAGACACTAGTCCAAGTTATTGTTTATGCTAAGTGTTTTAATTTGTTTTTAAATATTCGATCGTTCTCTAAATTTTTATTACAAAGTAGTAGGCCCAGCGGACACGCTGGGATTTAAACAGTTGGGGTGGATGTGGCAATGTGCCACTATATAAGAGAATCCACTCTCATAGTCATAGTGTGACTGCTATGGGTAACCCCAAGCACGTACACATCCATTATCCATGGTCATTCAACGTAACACTCAGCCGTGTACTGGCCTTAAATTTTATGTAGGTTATTTACACGCGGGAATAACCATCCCTGCTCCGGGGTTGACCAATGGTCAGCTAAGAAAAAGAGCGGAGCCATACAGGGACAGGGAAGGGGGTTCTGAATGGGTGCTTCACACAGGGCGAAAGTTTACCTAAGGCCAGCGTTGATAAATATATACAACTTCATCAAAAAAAAAAAAAACATACCCCAATTGTTTTTAAAGAAGTTTAAGCCAAAAAAAAAAACCATACAACTCTATTCAATTTACTTTCTATGGTAATATAGTTGCCCTTTTGTTGTAAGATATAGCCTCATGATCTTAGTTACCTAACAAAATAATAAAAGTCACGTGACACATTTAAATTATACCTGGAGCTTGATCAAATGGGAACGGCACATTAACAGTGAGGCCCTCGAGGTGTATACCGTGACCTTGAACAAGGACCGCCGAATGGCTTAGTGCATCATTAAGAGTTAGCAAAATGTTGGAGGCAGCTATAACCCCTGGGTCATGCCCCCAGGTTGTCACCAGAAGTCGATCATAAGACTGGTAAATGGAGAAAATTGGACAATAATATTTAAAAAAAAACAAATGCTCAAGAATGCGACAGAGCCTTTTCATTCAGTATAGCATTTAATAGCTTTAACTCAGTTACATTTAATAACTTTAACTGCTACTTTTAATTAGGGATTTGTTAATACAATCAGCTGTTCAATAAATTTGTATTATTTATACTGTACTGACTTCTTGCTTGAAACACAATGACATGTATTCAATATAAATTAAATGCACTAGTTATTAAAATTATTATCTGTGGCCTACCTATCTTAAGTGCCACCCGTACAGGCCAAAATTATTGCCACCACCATCCACAATAAAAGCTTTGTAGTTAATCAAAATGCTACCCCCTCCGTAAAAAGAAAAAAGTGCAACAACACACCCCCCCCCCCCCCACCTAAAAAAGAAAAAAAGCACAAAACCCCCCCCCCCCCCAACTCCTATGCCAGTGATTATTATTGAATTTGTTACTATGATGGCCAAATTAACTGACAGTAGACTATATAAGTGCTAAAACAGAACAATCTCAAATTTCATATAAAAGGCAGTAATTCAGATAACCTCTTAACATGTGCAGTATGGTTTGACAACTGATGCCAGTTACTATTGTATACATTACTGTTAGTTTATTATTGTGTTAAATAAAATATAAAAATTCTGGATTTTTCAAATTAAGATTTTTTTAAATTAGTTTTTTAGATATTGAAAATGAACAGCCTGTTTCTGTTTAGAATCCTTACTTTTAATAAATTAGCTTTTTCCTTTTAACATCCTTAATTTTATTAAATTACCTAAGCCCTACTAGTCCAAAAAATTATTTGAAATTTGTTTAAAACTTATTAAATATGTTGTTCAACTTAAATTAGATTAATGTAAAAAGAACTATAAAGAAACATTTTTCAAATAAATGTTCAAATTTCCACACAAAGAGTGAATTTCAAACAATGGTCTCGAAAACCTTCCCGGATCTTTTTGTAAATGGTGGGATTCAATTAAAAGAATCTAATCATAAAGTTTGTTTGTTTTTTTAAATCAGCCAAGCACTTCGGCTCACCTTAAAAACCCTTGGCAGCCTGTGCAACCTGGTTCCTTTCATCAAAAGTAAACTTGGGGGCCCGGAGCCAGTGAGGTGATAGATGAAAAGCTTAAACCAGACTGAGCTCACCTGTATGTGCACAATTATCAGAGAGTTGCTTTTTAAGATACTAACTTTTCAAATATGGATTTGAAAATATATTGATTAGTTATTCAAAAAAACTCATAAGTTTATTGTTTTTGAATGTTTAAAAGGCTAATCATTCAATGTTTTATTATCAAATGTTATAAAAGCTATTCATAAGAGAACTCAAGTTAGTTTATCGCCAAGATTTATTTTTTAGAATAAGTTTTTGCTAAAGATGCAGGTGTAAGAAGGGCCCTTACCTCAGGTATGGCAGGCCCTATATGTTGGGGTACACAACTACTGACTGGCCGGATCTCTTTACTGAGTGGAGCCATTGACACAAGAAGGCTTCATTCAAATAATAAAGGAAAAGAAATCATTGAATTAGCCAATTTTATTTTTAATTTATGAACAATTAAGCATTTAAAAAATGAATTAATTATATTATTTAGTTTAACCTATTTACAAAAAACAAATTTAGCACGCCAGAATTCTTATTCTCTGAGGCTAACATAATGTTACAATCACATTTTTTTAAAGTTATTAAGGGGTAAAAACATTATTTCTTGAAATTTAAACTTTTTCAGATATTTACTAACTCAGGTACAAGAGATGACCAATCATTAAGTATATTACCTGTAATTCTTGTTGAGAACTCTTGACCTGGTTTCTGGATCCAGTCCCAGCAAACTTTCACACCGAAGTAGGTCAATACCTTGTCCAGTGTTGGTACCTCCTAAATCAGAATCGTCTACCAGCTCGCGGTTGTAGCGGAGGAATCTGACTGTGTCTCTGAGAGTGAGAGCGTGATCAAAATAACGCCTGGCTTCCCCCTCAGCATCAGAGCCAACCTGATTCAGATATTAAAAAGATTTTTTTAACACCCTTAAAGAATTAAATATATACTAAAAAGGCCTCACGCGAAAGGAAATTTTCTAAATTGTTTGATAGATTTTATAGTTTTAAAAAAATATAACTATTTTTTTACAAATTTATTGAACAACTTTTCATATTCAGTTCAGCAATTACAGTTGTCTAATCTTTCTTCAGCTCCAAGATATATTTCAAGTCTTGATGTCAGGCACTTACTTTCTCCAGTTCAGAGAGGAAACTATCCATGGATTCATCACTTAATTTTCCCACTTCAAACATGGTGACAGCATGGCTCTTGAGGCCCTGAAAAAATAAAAATATTTCAATGGTTAAAAAAAACATAAATGAAGGATGCAGTGCTAGGATAAACATCAAAGATTTTAGCATTTCTAAAAATTAAAGAAAAGCTGAATTCCAATAGTTAACCGTTGAGCTTTTCATTTGTCAATTCATTTTTTTTTTTTAAATATGTTTCAAAACCACAGCCGAAAAGAAAGATCAATTACCGGAGACAGATTCCCCATCATAAGGAATGCTGTTAGAGTGGAATCAAACAAGAAGGCTATTCTCTTGGTCAGACCTGGGGTATGGGAGCTGTAGTCTGAAATGTTAATTATCATGTCAAGTGATCCATTTTAATGTATTACAATGATAACCGATACGATCTTATAATCAATTTAACTAAGAAAGAGGACATGGATTTACGATCTTTCAAAACTATTAGCTGTGCTTTAAAATGACCTAAGCAAATGATAGTGTTAGTTTTAATTATGAGTTGCATCTATCAACAGTCACAAAAACTTTAACCACACAAGAATTAAAGAGATTTCCAGTACAGTACTTTGCAACGATTTTCTCCACTGTACAGTTAGACCCTTCCAAGATTTCCACGGTACAACACAATTAAAATATTTAAACAAATTTCTTTTTACAGTTGTTAACACTTACCGTTTGTTTTATTATTTCTATTGCAATGAACTTAACTTGCATCAGAAGAATTTTTATAACAAGTAAAATAAAATAATTTTACTTTTTTAAGCGTGTTTATCAATAGAACATAAATGTAAGTAAAATATTTTTTTCTAACTGTCTTTTAAATACATGTATCTTTATTTTCTTTTTACACAACTGCTTGTATACATGTTCAAAGTCGTAACTTTATATGTAATTTCAAAAACTCTGTAGACCTACATATGATTTAATAAAAAAGAAATACTCCCAGTCAAGCACAAAATTAAAATATTATTTGATACTAATACAAGCAGCAGCCACTAACATTCTAACACATCCATGTCTTAATTTAAACTATTTATTTCAATGCCAAAACGAACAAACCAAAAAGAATAAATAAAACAAAAGCAATATATAAAAAAAAATTATGCCTGATGATAAACACTTGTTTAACTGTGTCAAGAAATCAGATAAAAAACTTCATTACCCTCAGTGTGGACACAATGGGGCTAAGTTCATTACCTGAGTAGTGTAAAGAATTTCTAAACAACCAGCAATTAACACCTAGTCGAATTATTTCACAGTACATGAGTGAATAGCATGAGATCAAAGGCCAAAGTGACCAAGACATATTTTACTCGTTTCTCCAGACACATTAAGAAGGTGACTTGTCATGTGACGCAGCAAATTTAAACCTGCAGTTGTGCTGTGCTATTTGACTTCAAACGTTTGATAGCTTGTTAATTAGCCAATCCCTGTCCCTTTTAAGATTATATGATTTTATTGATCCAAATAAATGGATATTGGTTTTGATGGTATTGCACATATATATTTCAATCTTCAAGTGTTATTCATCCCCTTGGGAGGAATTTTGCTGTGGCACACCTAGCATCGTCTCACTGCACATCAGTGTGATGTGGCCGGCACACCAGTGTGCCATGGTACACAGGTTCTGAACTCTGGTCCAGAACAAGCCAAAAAATATTAAGAAGATAATTCTAAAACATAATTATAAAGATAAAATTGTTTAAATCTCCTAGCCACCCACCTAATGGATCAAGACTGGCAGATATCCCTGTACCTCCATCTTCATTAACAGAGTTGGATTTACTCATTTCTCCTCCTGCATCCAGGTGGACAGAGCTGCTGAGGTCATCAATCAACAGTGTTCTCTCTTCATTTGACCTGATCAATTAGTGCATTTTCAACAAGATTTTAATTAACTCAGTGTCATAACTCAGTAAGCACTAATATAAAAAATTAAAAAAGAATAGAACATTTTTTTTAAATTATACATTTCTTATTTAAATGGAAATTGAATATTTTGATAGTTTTTAAATGCATTTATAGCCAATTTGAAAAAAACAAATGCCATGAAGGAATTTATTTTAAAACTTTTATTATCTGGTGGTAATATCAAAACTTTTTTCATCAGATGGTGTTCATTTGTTAAGTTTTAACATATTTTAATGAATTGCATAACAATTTATAGGTGAATGAATGCAATGTTTATCATAGCCACAATTTGTTTGAGACATACTCTATCCTAAAAAATGAATAAAATTACATAAGCCAACTAAATGTTGAGAATATGTGCACCAAATACATTATTTTGTACGGTTTATATAAGTTAAAAACTGGTGAAAAAATTTGGTAATTGCTATAATACTTTTAACCAACATTTTCAAGATTCCAACACATGGTTTAAAAAAATAATTACTTTGTATTTTTACTGTTAGCTTTTGAGGTAGGGGACTCTTGACTTGTATTCCATGATGGATGGAGTTCAGAGAGGTCAAAATCTGTGGATTTCTTTTTTGCAAATCCAAGCCGACAGTACATAGAAACAGCATTCTGAGTGAATGATGAGAAACCGAGCAGTTCAATACTGAATACATATAGCAATAAAAATAATAATAATATGTAAGACACAATAGAAAACTCCTGCTGGCACCACTTTCAGTTCTCTTACCTTGACTAAACCAAGATCTATCTGTAAAACACTGGCTAGCTGAAATGAAACAAAGTGATGACATCAGTCAGTCCATTGTAATTATTTATAAATAAAGAAATGTATCAACTAATAAAGAATCTAAATCAATCATTTGAGAGGCTTAATGTAAATATGAATGCTTATATTGTGATAAACAATTGGCAAATTTTTTAGTTACCTCAGACACTGGTGTTTGTTCATCAATGGAAACAAATATTTTGTACAGCAAAGTTTCAAAGTAGTCCCCAAGTACACGGTTCATCACAAACCCTTCCAAAGGAGGAACTGTCATGGTTAGAATGAAAATGGGTCAGAAAGAAGTTTTTTTAAAACATTTTTTAATCTATTTTCTTGATTTATTAATTACTTTTTTCTATCGCTACATAATCATAGCCAACTAATTTATAAGTCAAATCCCTATTGATCAAAACTTCTGACCTTATTACAAAACAAACTTTAAAACATACCACTGATGCAGTCATCATCACCAATGGGCACTTCCATGTAGATTAAACCTTTCCTGTATAAAGCTGCAAAAATAAAATTGCTGATAAATGACTTTAAAACAGCTTGAACTTAACATAGTAATGAATAGTTTTAGGAAAACCTGACATTATACATTAGGAAATGGCACAAACAAGCCGTCCAGCTAGTACCAAGCTCTTTATGCCTTCCCCAAAGCATCCCCACAAGCCCAAGGATCGGGCTGTGAAGCGGCATGTTGGAAATCTCCCTTTGCCAGGACAACCCCCGCCAACACCCACTCTATCCTGAGTAATATTTACAGACCAAAAAATTATCTTTTCGTACTATGCACAACTTCTTTTTCCATTTCTCCTGCAATCTGAGGTCCACCATCAATAACTGCATCAATTACTTTCTTTTCAGCTGTACTACACATCTGTAGAGGAAAAGAAGATTTGAAAATAATACTCAGCACGTAAAATGTTTGACACTAGAGTGATGATGACTTCCACACTTGCCCTAGAGACAGCAATCCACATACCCGGATGTCATCTTCTGTAATAAATCCAACTTGCACTATCCACCAGGCATCAATAGACACACCCTCAATTGGCTGACCAGGAAGCAATTCTTTTACAGGTCGCTTACGGAAAAATTTCTGAAAAATTTTTTACATTAGTTAATTATTTTTTTTACCAATAATAAGCTTTTGCCAACAATAAAAAAAGTTTTAAATTATTTTATATACAAATATAAACTTAGTAAAATTTAACTTGTGTTGATTTTTTTATATTCTTAGTATCCTGTTCTTTCTAAACTTACTTTAGAAGATCTACATTGATTCATTAAGTCAATGTATTGGTTACGACCAATACCCAGTAATCTGAGACCTGAAATATTATAAGGAAAAATATAAGAAAAGTATTCTAGGTAAAATGGACAATAAATTAATACCGGTTAGGGTGTCTTAAATGTTCATAACTACGCAGAATTTACAAGCTGTGACAAAAGTCTATAACAGAAAGAAAAAGAAAAAAAGACATAAATTTTGATAAACTTCAAGATGTAAGAAAAGTAAGGAGGAGCTTAAGAATGGTTAAATGGAATGCAAGGGAATTTTTTTATGATCTTACATGTCACTTCATGCAGTACCAGAAAATTAGATAACTCTATCTGCAAAATATGTACTCTAATCAGAGCTATTCATTTAAATGCTCACTGACATATTTTCTTTTAAGGTAAATGAATGGTTTGTTTGTTAAATATTCAGATAATTAGAACAGCTGTTTAATTAAGGATCCTTCTCTATGTCCCTACTTAAATCCATTGAATTTTTCAGCTTCCAGAGAAGCTTTATTTTATTTCATCATTCAAGGAGCTGTAGATATCTCATAATATGATGACAAAGTTTATTTAAATGCCTTCACTAGTTATATCAATAAAAGTTTATTTTTAAAAGCCACATTAATCTAATATAAATATATTGTACTAACAGTCAGCAGCTGTGAAGTTTGGCAGTGAATCGTAGCTCTTCTCTTGAGTCATAATATCCTGCATCATGTTACTATAGTAGGAAAATGGTGTAATTCTGAGACCTTTAACAAATATATCAGACAGGTGATATGGATACAGCATGAGATGTTCACGGCTGTACTGTAAAACATCTTCATAATATCTCTGCTCATCTTTACGAACTGTCCTTACTGGGAAAGGAAAATGACCATCAATTATAAATACACACAACAAAATAACTGTCCTAAAAAATAAGGTTAGCCAAAATGGATATTGTTATTTCATGGGAAAGAACAGTTGACATGAGTAAATTAACTAGAGTTATAATTAATTAACAAAATTTAACTTAAATACAGTGTTCAGTGTTCATTCTAATAAAATTAATAATAGAATATGGGCTGCATTTTATAAATTGAAGATAGAAAACTTCTTGACACAGCCATAAATAAATATTAACACTGTAGAACTCGACAGAATTTGTGACGTAAATTTCAAAAGTATCCCATTATGTATTTGACATTAATAAGCGACAATTAAAATAAGAAGTTTTTGTGAACTCTTACTCACTTAAGTTTCCCTTGTAACGCAGCTGGTTTTTCACACTGAAAATTGTAACTGCCTTTTCATATTCCCTCTGAGAATTTCCATAGCTCTATGGAGTAAGGAGATAACATTATTCATTACAATTAAATCTTGAATTAACTAGCCAATTTTAATATCAACTTTTGATATTTTATCTATTCAGGTCTAATGATGATTTATGATGGACTGTGTTCAAGCAATACCAAGTAAATTAAAATAGTGGAACAAGATATATAAAACCACCTAATAATAATAATAATAATAATATGTTTAGGCTTGAAAAAAAAAAAGGACAATTACAAGGATGTTTCTGCTTAACACCTTCTTCAGCAGACAAGACAAAACAAACAACGACAATAAATAGAAATGTAGACGTCATGGCGCGAATGGCCTGTTTTAGCCGAAATTTAAAACTTATGTGTTCCAAGATTCTGTTCAAAATTTAGTTCTAATGAACTGCAGGTAAACTTAGATTAAATGGTACAGAAAGCAAAAACTCCATTTATCACATATGATGTATGGAGAGAGGGCATTTCAGTTTACTAAAACACATAAGACATAATAGAATGTAATTTAGATTGGGATGTTAAAAAACGGAGTGGGTCTGTACATAAATTCTCGTGACTGTCAATTTCACTACACTCATTTTCTCCTCCTGTATCTAGATCAGAGGTCATTTTTCAGAACTCCCATACCTGTACTGATTCTTTCAGTGATCGTAGTTTAAAAATAAAATAATTATACTTTTTTTATAAAATAATAATGTTAATAATGTCTGTAAGTTGTGGTTATTAAGAGCAATTTTTCACTATAATATTCTGCTTTTCATATGAGGCCCCCCCTCTCCCTCTCGTCACATATCATCACAAAGATGTGACCCCCCCCCTTCTTAGACTAGTGAAGTCTATGTCATATGTGATAAACTGAGTTTTTGCTTAGTGTACCATTTAATCCAAGTTTACCAATAACAATGAAATCACCCCATGCCCATGGCCCATGGGCTCACCATTTGACCTTGTCATTTAGATTTAGTCAATTTGTTAAGTTAAGGTTAAGGGTGACTTTTATTAATTTTAATGGTGTGTTCATGGGAAGATTTCATTTTTACAGTTTGTGGTATATTCAATCGTTGATTCATTGATGATTTATTTAATTTTCTCATAATTTACTATAATTTCTAAATTAAATCACTAAAAATAGCAATTGAATTTTTATAATAAGCCAATATCAATAACCAATAACCATCATATAGTAAAGTATCATTATCAGTATAGTCCTAATTCTAATTGTATCATTATTATAGTTATTTGGGCCAAACTTTTAGGCCTATGGAAAATAGCTGGGCTGTTTTGTTGGGTTTTTTTTTTTTTTTAAATTTCATTTGATTTATTTATCATTTTCTTTTAGGTTTTGGGGCAGGGGCTCATATTACGCTTAGGCTTAGGCTAATCAATTTTTTTTTATTTTTTTACTCATTTGCTTTAATATCATTATCAGTATAGTCCTAATTCTAATTGTATCATTATTATAGTTATTTGGGCCAAACTTTTAGGCCTATGGAAAATAGCTGGTCTGTTTTGTTGGGTTTTTTTTTTTTTTTAAATTTCATTTGATTTATTTATCATTTTCATTTAGGTTTAGGGGCAGGGGCTCATATTACGCTTAGGCTTAGGCTAATCAATTTTTTTTTAATTTTTAACTCACTTGCTTGACATTAGCTGGCAATTTCGCCCAAGGATGATTTTGACGAATGTGATTTTCTGCAAGATTCTCCGCACTCATTGTGAAACCTATGCTAATCTATTATTTCATTAAATATAAAAGAAAAACATTGATTATTTTAAACATGTGTCATTTTTTTCTACTTGTGATGTTTTGCGAAAAAATCAAAACAATATTCTTCTCCACCCACAAAAGCGCTTCCGGATTGTCACGTGACTCGCTTCGTGGTCGTATCTAAATCTAAGTCTAAGCCATGGTCATTTAATATTGATTGCAAATCAATTGAATTTTGAAATAGTTTTTTCCCCCATATTCTTTAAAAAAAAAAAATTATATATATTTAAAAAAGTGGGGGGAGGTGTGTGTTAAATTTTGGATATGACAATCAACTATATTAACAAATATTGCATAATAATTAAATTAGTATCCAAGGGGCAGTCCATTATCATTATGTCAACAAATAATTTTAGGCAGCTTTTAACCCCCTTAACCATTGACAACACCTGTGAAACTTTCAAGGTCCTTCCTAATTAATTATGTCTACAACTGTCCCCCCCCCCTCAATCAAGAAAATAAAGAAAGAAATATTTTTTGAATGCTTAAGAATTAGGCGGAGCAACAAATATAATAACTTTTAAAACTTCTTTAAGAAATATTAAATTTTGTATACCAGAATCTATGATTTGAGACAGTTTTTATATTGCAGAATGTATTAAAGAATTAATTAGGCCTTAATATTATTGTTGTTAGTACAATTTTTGTGCTAATTTTTTTTTTTTATCCTCTATTTGATAATCCAAATGCTCCCCTTATAACTTATACAGTAGCGCATAGTAACTGGTTAATTTATAATTGCCATATTAATATTATAATGGAACTGGCTGACACCATCCTTGTTAAGTATAACTATTCAGAGCTTAAAATATCAACATTTTTTCTTTAAGCAATAAGTACTCATCGCCCTCTCTCTCGTCATCACTCAAATGTTCATATTATAAACATTTTATAACCACTAAGGCACATGTGTAAAACTCAAGGCCCGCGGGCCATATCCGGCCGCCCTACAATTATATCAGGCCGCGAGGTCTTGACCGACGTACACTTATATCCAAGACAACGCTATGGTGTTTCCCAATGCACACTTTGCTGAAAAACATAGCTTAATTCGCGCTGAGTTCGCAGGGTGCTTTAGTGACTTTGAAGCACAGAAATGTAATTTTTAGCTGTTTCGTAACCCATTTGTCATAGACGTGGAAACTGCACCTGTAAATTTGCAGACGGTGCTAATAGAGCTGCAGTGTAATGGGACACTAAAGGCAAAGTACGACACGGTTGGGCCTGCACAGTTGAGTTCACTCGTTTCATTCCCGAAGAGATACCCCCCAGCTTCGTCTACATACGGCTCGAACATTTAGCATGTTGGGTAGCACATAAATGTGTGAGCAGCTGTTTTATGTGATGATGATTAACAAAACATCACACATGATTCGTCTCACTCGCAGTCCATCATGAGAATCTCATTGACACAGAACGTTACTCCCAAAATAAACGAACTTACTTCTTTTTTTTTTTTTTTACCAAGAAAATGTGCCAAACATCAAGCTCTGACAAATTGCCATAAGTACGAAAATGGGTATGCCAATGGATTTTAATTATTAAAACTTTTTTCTGTTTTCATTTATATAAATGTTGTTTTTTTTAAAAGATTAATTTTCCGCATATTGAATGTTTATCGTATTCGACCCGCAACCTTACATGTGATTTGACTTTTGGCTCGCCGAGCAATTGAGTTTGACCCCCTGCACTAAAGCTATCAATTTTCTGGCATAACATGGTCGTTGATACATTCATGAAAATAATATGGTAGCCTACTGTGTATTAGTGTTTCTTTAAAACAATTTATCTGGGGTATGGGGGCGGGGGGGGGGGGGGGGGGGGGGGGGGGAATATTTCAGACGTTATGGTTGACAGTGCATGTCAGCGACATTTTGAAGCCATGATGACCAGTTACAGCTCTAACTCCACCCCACACCCTATCCCAACATAAATTATATTATTTCCGTTTGTTGTGCCCCTGAGGTATGCTTTTTTGCCCCAGCTTAGTTACACTTCCTTAATTCTTTATAGCCAATCCGTCATTACAAAATTGAGTTTAATTTAAATAAAAATGTTAATTGTCATTTCCAAAAATCAGATTACCGTACTAATATCGTTTTCTTTTGTAGGAAAATTCCTTCATCATTATAAGTAATTCCTGAATTATAAAGTCACCCTTAATATAACATTATGTAGAAAAATTTCCAACAAGTGACCAAAGCAGCAGTAGTAGATGCTAAGGATATCATGCCAGTGAAGAGTGAAAGGAATTGTGAGCAGGGGGTGTTTCATAATATTCTGTCATCTGGAAATATTGTTTCTACCCTCCCAAAAATGTTTTAATTTGCTAAAAAATTTAAAGAACAGAACTCAAAACAATAGTCCACATAATAGATTTATTTCAGTTTATTTTATTCTCCCAATAGTTTCTATTTCAACTATCTCCCATGGAACAAAAAGTAAATGTTGTCCATGAGCTGGTGAGCTACAGTGAAAGAATTATTCCCAACAAACAATATCTCTTCAGAAAAAAAATTAATGCCCATACAATAAAAAATCACTGTTGAAATGGATTTCAAGGCACACTGAGTTCATAACATGTAGTCAATAGATTTTTAAAAATTCATATACGGGCATGGGCGCCCGCAGAAAACTTTCGGGGGGGGGGGGGGGGGGCGCAAAAGATCGATTAACTTTCTAGGGGGCAAAATTTTTTTAGTAATGTTTTAATGTAGTTTTAATTTACTGTAGCGTATTTGTATGGTGAACGAAAGGACAGGACATCAGCTTAGTTACTTTCTCTTTATTTTCTCTTTACTTTAATAAATTTTGTCTATTTTTGTCTAACATTTTTTTATCCAATCAATCCAGGGCAAGTGCCCCCCCTTGCGGGCGCCCATGTATACCTGTATTAATTCCAATAAAACAAAAGTTAATGAATTAAAGCTTAAAGCTATACAGTGTATACCATTATATCTGTACTTTTAATACCCGATGATTTATGGTGTAAATATTTAAAACTAATTCAATCCTGAAAATCAAAAGTTTAATTTAATTAGTATGAATCCAATGTAATCTTTTTTTTTTATGGAGTGTAAAAATAAGTTTTCTCCATTCTTTAACTTTCAGACAGTGGTTCTCAACCTTCTTAATGACGTGACCCTTTAATCCTCCCAACCATAAAATTATTTTCGTTGCTACTACTGCATAAATGTTTTTTCCGATGGCCTTCGGCGACCCCTCTGTAAGGGTCGTTTGCCCCCAAAGAGATCGCAACCCACAGGTTGAGAACCACCGCTTTAAGAGAAGGACTTTTTGAATTTATTTACATAACAGGATTTACTAAATAATAAACTTATTCGATTCTTGTCATTTATTTGAAAAGATTTTTATTTAAAATAAAGGATTAATATGTACCGGTATAGGAAATATTGCAATAAAAGGTAAAAAAAATTTAAAACCATTTCAAAATAGCATCCCATTCAAATCAAGGGAAAAATGCAATGTGTGGCAATAATAACAATACTGTTAAATTTAATAGAGTACATAATTTTCTTGCATAGAATATACATTGAAAAAATATAGTGGCCAAAGATGTTACATACGACTAAGTAATTAGTCGATGTGGTATTCCAGTAATGATTATTACTGCTGAAATTCAGATTAAATTTCAATATACATTAATAATGAATATGATGCTTATACTTTAATGTAAATTACCAGGTGTAACAGAAATTTTACATATTTACCTGATAGATCAAAAACAATCTAAAAATGTTAAGTTCCAATTGGTAAGACAAAATAAAATGTAAAGAAGATAGTGGTTTTATATTTCAAGGTAATCACTTGTTATTGTACTGCCTACATTAAATTTTAATATGAAAATATATATAATGAAATATTGTAAAGTTTTTTTTTTAAAAAGTAAAAGATCAATTTATTAAGTCCAGATTTCTGTTTATAAGAACAATGAAATAACTTGAATATTTAGTAATTACAATTATTGATAATCATAGCATTAAAGATTTAATATACTTTCAGTACATTTCAATTTTTAGGTTAGCTTGTTACAAAATACTGGAATTTTCAAGTTTTCTTTTTACAAATACTGACCACCACAACAACTTTGGTTGTAAAAATCCCGAATTCGTAAATGCATGAAAAATAAAAAATTAGCCAGAACAAAGTAAATCAAGTCAAAGGCAATTTTAAATTTTTCTTTTACTCTATTCACATAACTGAAAATGTCTCAGAAATTCCACTCATCTGTAAACAAAAAATATACAAAATTATGAAATTTAATAAATTGTAATTTTTTTAGTACCCCATACTTAAAGTTGACAGATGTAACCTTAGCAGTAGTTCTACACCTTCCTATAGGGACAGATACTATAAAGACTCACTTTCAAAAATGTTTTTATCTTGAAAATTTATCTACTTTAAAAATATATGCTGTTTATCAAGTGGAACATTGCACATAACAGTAATATCAATAGTCACTGGGTTACTGAAACACAAAAACAAGGGTCAATTATGTATGAAATGCCGTCCTAAATTTACATTGATTGAAAAGATTATAAACTATGTATAAGTTTCAAAACATAAATGGAATGGTATTTTATAATAGTGAAAAATGTGACAGTCAAAGTACCTTGAGGTGTATTTAAATCTTAAATGAACAAATCCTTCCAATATTTTTTGCGAAATTAATTTTACTGTATTACAAATTGGAGGATTCTAATTTCTCTTCATCTGATGATGTGTAGTCTGTCACAGGAGGGCAGGTGCACATCAGGTTTTGGTCTCCATAAATGTCATCAATACGGGAGACAGTTGGCCAAATTTTGGTAGTTGGTTGGACAAAAGCCTGGTCAATTAAAATATGAATAATATACATTATGATAGTTTTAATTAATTTAATACAAACTCGCAGACAGTTAATGGTTTACTAAGCTACATCCTGTCAAAATCAGATAATTTTTTTATTAAAAATAAAACAGAAGTTACTATTTTTATTTTTGAATATAGTTTGAACAGCTGCTACAAACATGCATGCAACCTAAGGCTATTTATTGATTAGTTTTTTGTTAGATGTAACATGCCATGTAATCATAAAATGAATTTGTACATTGTACATTTTATTAAACAATGAACACACATACAAAAAAACGTACAGCGGGAAATACTGCAGACTCTGGTGAATATGGCCTTTCCCATTTGCCAAATAGAACATCAGCTTGACAATGAGGTGCCATCTAAAAAAAAAATCATTTTGATATTTGATACTGGTGACAATTGTTTTTAAACATTACAATTATTATAACTATACAGTGTAAAAAAACAAACTATTTTCACTCTTTTTACATACAAGTCAATGCAAGCACCAGTTCCACATTTAACTCTGGTCTTAAATATCCACCGGAAACTCAGAATTGAATGTATATTTCTATTTTAATCACAACATTATAGATGATATATCTTTTAGACTCTCCAGTTCTTGGCGATTTGTATTACTAAGCTTTAGAAACATTTATTTAACACTGCTTTAAGTACAAAGATTTCATTTTTTTAAAACTAAAAACTATACTTTAATGGGATTTAGGTCTCTGCTCCACTGGCCTAATTCAATAGCTCGAACTTCATCACGAATCACTGAAAAATGGGGTTAAATTTGAATTTAAATTATATGCTTGAATTTTTTATTGTATCACTTTAGAAGTGATTTTTATATCATAAAGTGTTAATAACTTACTAAAATAACATAGGGAAAATAATCAATTAAAATATCTGCATACATCACACCCCAAAAAAGAAACATATTTTGAATAAATCAAATTAGTGTGCTTTCTTTTTTTTTTAATTTATAAATTCTTTTCCTAAGTTAAAAAACAAAAGGACAGAAATTATATTGTATACTGCCTTGACTCTTGCTGTTAATCCAAGTTAATAAATATAAATTTTTCTTTTTTCCTCTATGTTGTATTGTGGTGACTTGGTATGTGATTGGTAACATAATTTTTAAAGTACCAATGGTCATTGTACTTACTGATAAGAGCGTCACAGAAATTATCTAACTCAAGTTTATCCTCAGACTCGGTGGGTTCTATCATAAGTGTGCCTGACACAGGCCAAGACAAGGTAGGAGCATGGAATCCTAAAGTTGAAAAAAATTATAAGTAAATTTGGAAGAAATTTTCACAATATTTAGGAGTAGCTAAATTGATATAGCAGACAGCCCACTCCTGCAAAACCTACTTTTGATGTAACCCTTTGATGTGGCTAAGCAAAGAGGATAACTCCATATGAGTTTTTTTTAATTACCGTAAAATATAAAGAAATGAAAAGTCATCTTATAAAGTATTAAGTGCTAAAATGAATGAAATTTCATAATCACTATATAAATATTGATATGAATAACATATCTGAATTTAAGTATTTCTAGATTTTCATAAGTTCAGAATAATCACCACTGGTAACCACCATAAGCTGCTAGTATTAACTACCAATGTCTCAGGGCCAGCTCAAGGTACCGGCAATTCGGGCAGTTGCCCGGGGTGCCATGTGCTTAGGGCGCCAGCAATAATCTTCCAAAATATGAAAAAGCATTGCGTGTGGGTGTCCCGGAAAAAATTATTTTTAGCTCAAAATGTTTGTCTGCCATGCTACATAAATTGTTGTGTTCGTAAACAGGAAGTGGCAGTAAAAGTCACTGCAGACAAAGGCAGCTGCTTCCCTTGTAGGAGCATTGAGTTCTTCTTTGCCATGGCATCTGTTTCTTGTGACAGAGACTTCTATTTGGCGACGGCGGTAGGTTTGTCAGCATATTGCTTATCAACAGACCTTTTTTTCAGCAACTTTGGAAAAACCTTATGCCTTGAGTGTGTCATAGCCTAAAATTAGTGGATGGTTAAAGTGCAACAAGTTGCCAGGAATCCACTTCTAACAAATCTTTAGGTGACATTAAGAGTAGTGCTTATAGTACATATTACTGTAGCCAGTTATAAAATCATACTGAAGATCATCTATGTCTCAGGAAAGAATGAATTCTTTGGCAATTTTGAATATAGAAAATGATATTGCAAAGAATATAAATACAAAAAATGCACTTAAAACATTTGATAATCTAAATTCTTTAAAAAATGTCAGGTTAGGCTAATTGTTCATACTGTCCAAATACAAGTTAAGCAAAACAATATTATTGTTCATTGTTTGTTAAAAAAAAAAAAACCTTGGTAATAAACTCATTACCTCACCCTTAATTTTTCCCTTGCAACCTAGGGCCAGCCCTGAATGTACTAGAGCTAATTTTAACTCTTTTTTTTCAGAGTTAACTTTAACCATAGGATCTGTATAAATATCAATTGATTTTACATGCATCTGTTCAATATTTTCATTATCTAAACTTGTCAATAAACTTTCAAGAGCTTGCAAAGCCACGCTGAACTTCTTACTCACATAACAGTAAATTAAAAAAAGATTTTAAAAAATTACAAATTCTTCAAAAACAACGGGTATGTTCTGGTATTTAACTTTAGGGAGTTGTATGGTAACATTAGTTAGGCTGCTATTTTATTTGGTGTGCTTTTGTCAAGTAAAAAAATTGTTTGCACAGTAGTCATTTATATTATTTATATTTTGACATAAAATTAACATGACCGTACCATAATCTTGAAGTCTTTTTGCTATGTCCGTTGCTTCAACATTTGCTGTTTTCTTAAACTCCCTGCAGTCAATGATGAACTCATGAGCACAGAAACCTAAGGATAACAGAATTTTACATACACCACTAGTTGACTAATCATGTCAAATTGATTTATCCAACAAAAAAACAACTAAAGTCACAATGATCATAACATAACCATAACAGCTTACTTTTGCATCCTACCAAGGTATACAAAACAATTGAAATGTGTAATGTGTTCTATATAAAGACATTTACTAAAAATTAAAGGCTACCATATAACAATTAGATCACAAAATTTATAAAATATATTTATTAATTACGAGGAATATTTACAAATTCTCACAACAAATAACTTTTTTAAAATAAATAAATTCCAATCAAAGTAGCATTGCAAAAGATTGAAAATAAGAGATTATTGTTTTGGCCATTTTTATTGGGGCCCATAAGATGGTTTTAGGAAAAAGACAGTTACGCCAACGCTCCAACAAAACAATTGCTTGACAACAAAAATGTACGTTACAAATACTGTTATGAGTGCAAGCAGAGTAAAAGTTAAAAAATGCTGTAGAAAAAGTATTCTACCTTTTTCATTGGTGTACAAGGTTTTGTAATGGCCTGCTAGTCTTTTGCTCATGTAGTTTGCATTCAAGATTGCCACCTGAGATGCTTTGCGAAGGCCTCGGGCACCCATCATTTTAATGTATGACCATGAAATCGGCAAGATGGAGGTTGATCCATAAGGTCCTGATGAGACACTCCCAAAAGATAATGCTGGATCAATGCCATCTGGTGGTGAAATGGGATGGGAAGGAAGGAATGGGGCTAAATGTTTCTTTCTGAAATATAAAAGAATAGGGATGGTTTTGTATAGTGTATTAGTAATAGAATCTTTTTTAATTCAAGAATCTTATCGAATTAATTAAATTTAAAAACAGATTCCTTTCAATTTTGTTCATATGATAGACACTAAGCCTAGGCTATGGGAATTTAGCTGAGAGAAATGGAATCTATTGTTTCATGGGAGGAAATGAGAGTTAAAAAAACAACCACCATAGATGGAAGAAAGCAGTTGACTTTGAGATGTAAAAAAATAGGCCATCTACCTTCTAACAAAATGCATCCCTTGCAAAAAAAAAACTTTTTTTAAATAGCCAGTATGTCCTTTTATTTATGGATATTTATACACTGCTTTTATAAAAATTTATAAATCAAGATAACTGAGTTTTTCCACAGACAAGGAAATATCATTATTCACCTATTAAATAAATATGTGTTACACAAACATGAGCTGCTGTAAATATTGCAAAAGTTGGCACAAAGTGAAGGGGATGCAAGAGTTAGGGATGACTAGTCAGTAGGAGTAAAAATGTTCTTACACTCCAATAGGTCCAGCTCCTGGACCACCACCACCATGTGGAATACAGAAGGTCTTGTGCAGGTTCAAGTGAGACACATCAGATCCATAATCCCCAGGACGGCAGATACCAACCTTGTTGTAGTAAGCCATGCCATTAAAATGTGTAAGCAAAAACTACAACCAAAATAACAAGCCTAATATTTATCTAAGACAAAACCAACAAAAAATGTAATATTAATTTACTGGTGAAGAATATTAATAGTGATCAACTTGTTTATAATAATCTATTGCAAAAATAATGGAAATTTATGTAAAGCTCAAATAATTTCTTTTTTTTAAAATGAGCATCCTTAGAGAAGTTAATTCTGTTTAAGATGTGTGAGGTGCAGTATATCATCAATTTGACATATTAAGTTTACAAAGTAGTAACTTGTTTTGCAACTATTTCAATGAATCACTCACAACTATACTTTTATGATAAAAATCTAGTCTTGACCTTAACCCTGCCAAAATTATGTTTCATTCTAAGTTATAAATGTTCTGCTGTTGAATGAAAAATGAAAGTTAACAGATATTGTGAAACACTACTATAACATACCTGTGCATTCATGTTGGCACCATCAAGGTAAACTTGCCCACCGTAATGATGGGTTATGTCGCAAATTTCTCTGTAAAAAAATGTTTAAATATATCAAAAATTCTAAGAATATATTTGGTATACAAGCAAGCAAAATTATAAAAAAGAATTTTTCCAAGAAAGATAAAAAAAAGAAACAAAATTAATTTTAAAGAGCATGTTGATTGAAAAATAGCATATAATGGTGCTTCAAAAATAAATAAAAAAATAAATGATTGATCAAAGAGAAAAATAAGATTATTATAGTAAAAAATGTAGACATCTTGCTAATATAGCAATCTTCCTTGCCCTTTAATGGCTATTTACCTTATGTCTTTATCAAAAACACCATGTGTTGAGGGATAGGTTATCATAAAACAGGCCAATTCATCTTTGTATTTCTCCACCTAGTACAAATGATAAAACAAAATGTTTAAATCTACAGATCTCTTCTATTTTAACAGATAAGTTTCAACGTAGTAATCTAGGTTTGCTATAAAAAAGTGGAAACATTTTTTTGTGGTTGGAAAGCATAAAATACAACTATTTTTATTTGTATAATAAAATCTTACATTTTCTTTCATGTGTTTCATGTCCACAGCTCCATTACGATCCACATTAATTTGCTGTATTTTCATACCAGCCATCTGGGCACTTGCGGGGTTGGTGCCATGGGCAGATACTGGAATTAGACAAACCTAGAAAGAAAGGAAATGAGCATAGCAAAGTATAACATGATTTGATGGGAATAAAGATTTATTATAAGAAAAAATACAAATTTTTAAGAATAATAAACGTATATGAATTTGTACCGTTAGTAAATTTTAGTACTTTGCATAAATCAGTTCCTGAAAATCTCCATCCTAATTCTTTAACAAAACTACTAACATGAAAAATTTTAAATATGCATTTATGTGGATAAAAATATTGTAATGACTAGTTTTAATTTTCCTCATTTGTAAGTAGCTATACATTATGAATGTTAAGCTCCTCCTTTCTAGTTGAATATTTAATTTGACACTGACCTTTCTTTTTTGTTGGTCAATGGACTGTAAGTAAGACATGATAGTTCTAAGGCCCGCATATTCACCTTGGGCACCACTGAAAGTGTAAAAATTGAGAGTTTATTAGTTTAAGCACATTTAAAAATTGGAATAGTACGATGCAAATTAATATGTTGATAAAAAAACATTTTTCAAAACAATTTTATAGAGGAATGCAATGGTCACCATATGACCAACTGATAAAAACTATTCATAGGTTCATATTTTGAGATGTAAAAAATTTTTATGAGGTTTTTCTTCAGTAAAAGAGGACTATTCCTAATTAAATATACAAAAATAAATTTAAAAGTGAATTAAAAAAAACAACATAATTTAGTTTATAAGGATACAAAAAATAACTTGTCTGTGGTTGGTCAAGTGGAGCAATCAAATTCTTGTTTATTTTCCAAACCACTTATTCCCGGTTAGTCCCCAATTATGGGTTTATAATAAGGTTGAATGGTTTTTTTATCATAGAAACAGAAACTCTTGGAGAGAATATAAACCTTGTGCTGGAGGACATAGCAACCAGCTTGGCTTGGGATCAGCTACAGCCGACTATGCAAAAATAGCTCTGGTCTAACCAGGTAAGCTATAGCTGCATCACTTATTCCTGAAATAAAAAGAACAATAACAAACAAGCAGCATTGTCACCTGTTTGGTTGGAAAGAAATGCGGTCATAGCCTGTAATTTCACACAGGTCTTTCTCCAACTCTTCAAGCATTATGTGATAACCTTTGGCTTGCTCTTTGGGCACGAATGGATGCAAGGAAGCAAACTCTGGCCATGAACAGGGCTGATGAAATGAATAATGAAAAAAGTCTATTAGCATTGATAGATTTAAGATTTAAGAAATAATTAATTAATTAATTATATACAGGAATATATTAAAAAAATCATTTTAACTGATAAAAAAATATGCATTTAAAAAAATAATTGTTCAATTTAAACAAGGACACTGTTTACTTGTGGTCAAAATCAATATAGTGCCCAGTCTCTGTTATGAAGTAATCAATCATAAAAAAACTTACCATCATTTCTGTTGTACTATTTAGTTTCATGGTACAGGACCCCAGTGAAATCATTGAGTGAACAAGGGACAGATCTCTGTTTTCCAAGTTCTTCATATAGCGAACAATTCTCGTCTCAGAATGATAGCTAGCAAATCAAATAAAACTGTAAATATCCCATAACAATGTAAAAGAAATAACAAGCCTTAATTTCGAATTATAAAAATGTCAGCAAATCTATTCAAATTTTGTTGAGGGTTAATCTTTTGAATATTTAATTTCTACCTGTTGAAGACTGGATGTGTAAGATAGCGAGAAGTTCGTGCAAATTGTCCTCTCTCCAAGCTGTTGGAAGGCTCTTCACCAATCTCCATGGCAATATCATTCTTAAAAAGTAGAGATGCAAGATTCTTTTATTGGCCCTGTATATCTTTCTTTGTCCAAAAGCACTGAACAGCTTAGTAATGGGGAGTCTTATTAACATGAGAAGATTACCAACTGTAAATTCTAGCATATTACTTCTATCTTCTCTTAAGAAGTGAGGTAAGGTTCATAGGTTGCAGGCAGAACTTCAAAGGATAAATGAAGGACTACGCTCAAGCTGTGTGAAAGAAATAGCAGAACAAGGTCTGTGGAAGCTAGAAATAGAAAGGCAGGACAATAAAAAGGCATGACAATAAAAGAAGAATTTTTTTTAGCTAAGAGCCTTCCTCGGCAGACAGGACAATATCACCATATGGAATTAATCAAATTTTCTCTTAATAGTGATCCGCAATTTCCCTGAATTTCTTTTCTTATGTCTTATTTTACATATTTACAAAGTATTTTTGTTCGTTAAAATCTAATTTTTTCACAGTAATAATACATAAATTCTTTTACAGTCTGTAATCTTAGTTTTGAAAAACCCAAATTCCAGCAATAACATTAATAGCAACACTTAGTTTTTTTTATATACTTTCTATTTCTTGTTATTTCTTCATTTGCCCTGTCATTTGAGGAAGGCTCTTAGATGAAACGTTCTTTTAATGTCCTGTATTTCTATTTGAAGCTTCCACATACCTTCTTCTGCTGTTTCATAACTTCAACTAAGCCTCAAAAGGACTTCTTATTCTTATTTAATGCATGTTGTATAATAAAAACTTGGAACTCAACAGACATTTTAAATTAAGTCCATGCATTATTGAATTTCCTATGTTGAATCCGGGACAGAATATCAAATCTCTTTGGCCAATGCCGGTCTACCTAGGATGAATGGTAAGCCTACCTTAAAGGACAAGCATGACATAAGCTTATTGAACTTTTATGAGCCTTTATTGAAGGTGGTTAACACAAAAATCGGAATTACAAAAAATATGGCAACTGCTGCATGGATATCATACTAGAGTTTTTTTAGTTGCATATACAAACTAAATTAAGAAAGCTGTCACAAAATATTTTTCTGGGCAATTTTTCTATAATTAAAAAGCAGAAAGTCTTCTTTAACAATACTTTTGAGAAAATCTAACATGATTTATTTTCATTAAGTAGGCCTAATACCAACAGCAGCTAACTAAGGTGAAAATGTCTGATTTCCAAAATGACATATGCCAGTTTGGAGAGATAATATTAAGCAAACATCATTAAAAGGAAAATTATTTATAAGAATAAACATAACTCAGGGCAATAGCAGATCCTGAAAAAAATTCTACAGTGGGGTGGGGAAAATTTTAAATAAAGAAACTTTAAAAGTTCTAACATAAAAATGAATGTTGACTATATTTTTTTTTATTGATTTAACTACAAAAGGGGTATTTTAAGTGCCACCTTTCTGAATTCAACAATGTTTAATTGTATAAAGGCAATTTGAAAAACAACATTTGGCTGATAGTGTACTTAATCTAGAAACAAGTTATATATTTTTGCCTTTTTTTTTAAATTTTTATAGAGAACTCTTATCTTTTGATCTGAATAATCATATTTTAGAACAACACATTTTTCTTCCCTTATCTAATATTTCCAGAGGAGAATAAAAGTACCATAATCAAATGTACACTATGATTTTTTAATTTAAAAAAAAAAATCTCATCCAACTATGTTGTTTCCAGAAGGAAGAAAAAGGAAGATGTCCAAGTGCACAACCCCCCCACCCCTTTTTTTCCTCATCAGATAGTAGCTATAGATATTGTTTTGATAGAGGAGATATTTTTTGTCAGATATTTTGTCATTTTTACTATTTTTGTTAAAGCACTTAATTTCTAATCATGTGATTCTCTGGTCAAACAAATGACTAAACACTATTTAAAAAAAAAATTAATACAGTGGTCAGCGACCTGTGGCTCCAAAGCTGCATGCCGCTCTTAGAATGGATAAAGCGCATAGAATGGATAAAGCGGATCTTTTTGTTATATAATATACACTTTAAAAAATGTATCTATTATGCCATTTACGCTTAAATAAAAACTAAATGAAGCTGAACAACAAAAGTAGCATTAAAAGGATACTATATTATCTTTTAAGAGCTTTGTTATTTAATTTTATAAAAAAATATTTTGTAATTATAGACAGCAAATGGGAACCCGTGGTTCAGTATAAATGAATAATTTAATTTTAAATGCTGCCAAGATTCCCAAAATATTTTCTTAGCAGATAAAATTTATAAAATGACTCTTTCTTCAAAAAAGGGTGCAAAACTCTTGATTTAGTAGGTTTCCTTGATATGCTAGGAGCAAAAGAGCTGGGGAGCTTTAACAATCTCTAAAGCAAAGAGATTAAAGTTTTTTTTTTAAAGACAGAGCTTTTGGTTATATTATTTGCTATTCATTTGACACTGCCATCATTACTTCCAAGTCAAAGCTTATTTGACTGATCTAACTTTCTAACTTATATTTAAGGATAAAGAGAAAAGAAGATGACTCACAGCTGAAGTTGGACATCCTACAACATAAAGCAAATCTGCTATGTCTTTCTGAGATACTGTTTCATCCAGGGACATGGAAATCTGAGAGAAGAATAAATGCAGACCAAAATCAATAACAAAAAGATTCTTTTTCTCTATATATGTTTACTATGAACTGAAATTAACAGTTCAAATGATTCCATCAGACTGTACTCAGTGATGAATTTCTGTTTTATTAAATTCTTCATGATGTATGTTTTGTCTTCTGTTTTATTGCATTCATTACATTACCCACCTCTGAATCTGGATAATATCTCAAGTTAATTTTCTTCTCTTCGGCTCTCTTTTTTATCTCAGCTTGTCCATCCTTTGGCTGGAACTTCACTGTGTCAAAGAAGACAGTTGACGTCAGCTTGTGGCCACTTTTTTTAATACCTGACAAAAGGAAACATTGTGATTTGAAGTTTTCATGGGTTAACAAATCATAAGAATTTAAAGAAGTAAAATATTTTTTGCATAACTATTAAAATATTTAAAGTGTAAATTTATAACTATCAGACTCGAAAAGCAAATCAAGTTTTTACCTTCAGACAAGAGTAGGGCTCCATGATGAACTTTTTGGGCAAAGTGTTTGAGACCTTTTGGTCCATGAAAAACAGCATACATTGCCGACATATTGGCTAAAAGGGCCTATGAAATAGATTATTTATTATTTTTATTTGTAATATATAAATATTACCATTTTTAAAAAAGCTGATTAATATGTTACATTATTAGTTACATACAAAATCAATAGTGACAATATTTTACCCAATAATAATCATGCACATATTTTATTCACACTTCCCCACCTGTGCTGTGCAGATATTACTGGTCGCCTTGTCTCTTCTGATGTGCTGTTCTCTTGTCTGCAGAGCAAGTCTCAGTGCACGCCTTCCAGCAGCATCCCTGACAGAGAAAAATTTATTTATATAGAACAGTGGTACAGCTAGAATGAATCAAGAAGGTGTTGGGTGTTATGGCATAAAGATATCTGCCTGATAACTTTCTAAATATTCCATACCTAAAAGCTTGAATTAACAAAAGCTCTCTGTTAATCATTACATAAGAGTGATGCAACTAATTTTCCACTGTACACTCACCTTGTGATACCAACAACCCTTCCTGGCAACATCCTCATAAACTTCTCTTTACAGGAGAAGAATCCTGCATGGGGCCCACCATAACCCATGGGTATACCAAACCTCTGATTTGTTCCAATGGCAATATCAAAGTCCAGTTCACCAGGTGGTTTCATTAAGGTCACAGCAAGTAGGTCTGTGGCTCCAACTACAAGTGTCTGCATGATTTCAAATGATATAATTAGATTGAGGGAAATAAATTTATGTACTTATGATTGTGAACATTTTAATAATAGTGACTAATAATTTTAAATTGAGTATTGCAAAAAACAGGAACCGACCCCATTTTTGTGAGCCTCTTCAACAAATTTTGTATAGTCATGTATCGTTCCATCTGTATCTGGGTATTGAACCAAGACACCACTGAAGTCTTTTTTACTGAAGTCAGCTGTTTTCCATGGTCCCTCAACCACATCAATTCCCAGGGGCCTGTCACAGAAAGCGCAAGAATGACAGTCAAATACATCTGATTAAATAAATTTGATTGAGGGAATAAAAAGAAAATTTGAATTCCATTTATATCTCATCATTGCTACAATGTGAGCTCGGTGACAACAACAAAAACAACTCACTCGGCTCTGGTCTTGACAACGGAGATTGTTTGAATGTGGCACTTTGAGTCAACAAAGAACTTCTTCCTCTTGTTGAATCTGCGTAAAAATAATGTAAACACAGTCAATCATACTTTAGCAATATGATTTTTTAAAATTATAATCCAATTATTTCAAATTAGTTCTACTGTGATTTCAACTTCTAAATCAGAGTTGATAGATATATTTTACAACTAATATTTTGTTTTCAAAGCTCAGATCATCTTATGAAAAAAACAACAAAAAAAAAGTATCTTTCTTCATTAACTACTACAAGCTGCTCTCAGCATATTTTTAAATACTTTTTCTTTTAAAAATCTGTGTGAGTCCAGTTAAATCAATTGTAATCTTTTTAAAAAAAATTGATTTTTACTAACATTGGCAGCCGTAAATTTACTGTTTTGATCACACCTATTTTGCACAGTTTTGTGCTAAGCTCAGAGATGGCCTAACACTTAATAAACCAGCAAGCTAATTTTGTCATGGGTCCAAAGGATTTTGTTTTACTAGGGCTTTCTTCTCCAGAATAAGTTGTTTAATCCTGCTATTTCTATGTTGCTAAGCAGAGCATATTAAAATCGTCCCTCAGGGTGGAACATAGTAATCAGGGCTATTAGAAATTCATCTTTCTTCCATAGCAGCTTACCTAGTACACAGAGCCATAGCCTCAGCAGCAGATGTGCCCTCATCAAGCAGGGAAGCATTGGATACTGGTAGTGCCATAAGGTCAGTAACCATGGTCTGGTAGTTGAGAAGACTTTCCAGTCTACCCTGAGCCAGCTCAGCTTGGTAAGGTGTATACTGTGTTGTCCTATAGATAAAAAAGATTTTTATTAGTGTTATGTCAAGCTAAAATTTCTCAATGAGCTGTATCAAATACATCAATTTTTAAATCTAGGGATTTTAAATAAAATCATTCCAGATTTTATAAAGAAATTCATTCCAATTTTTTTTCAGGCAGCTCACTTGCTATATAGAGGTAATTAAGTAAAGAACAGTGTTATGCCCTATGATGGCCCAGTACTTCTGATTTCAGGAAGCTATTTTTTACCCTTATCAGCATCCAGTGGAGTTTTTAACACTGGGTTTCCTCCTCCCCAAGAAAATTTCCCTTATTTGGTGAGAAATTCAAGCACCTGGCTGTCTTGTCTAAATCTAGGAAATAAGCTAGGAATTTTACCCCTTTACTTCAAGTTTTGAGGAGAACAATGTTGCCATTGTGTCACACTGGTATATTGTATGTGATTGAAACACCTGATAGAATTTATATGGAAAACAAATTAATAAATAGATTTGGTATGATGACTCCATTTGTAATAAACTAAATTTACAATTATACATAACTGCGTTGTCTTTTTCCCGTTTGGCTTTTATACTGTTCATCCATCTATTTTCTTTTCGTTCTTCTGATCTTTGCTTCCATGAGGGACTTATAAATATTCTTATTTTTTCTTCCATTTTTTGATATAGGCAGGATATAAATATTAAATTTACATAATATATATTTACATCCTACCTATACCTAAAAATTGGAAGAAAAAAAATAAGAATAAAATTTATAATTATATTTATGTTTTTTGTTGAGCTGAGGAGGGCATTTGCCAAAACGTTTGAATTTGTATTTTGTCTCATCATAATTAAAGCTTAATATAATTTTTTTTATTTACACATATTGTTCGTGCCTCATTGATGCTGGAAAGCTTATACCAAGGAATGAGTACAGACAAATTTTTTGTACAAGGAATGTTGGTCAAAAGAAACCCTAGTACAACTAAGACTTACCATCCAGGATTTTCAAAAATATTTCTAAGTATGGTGGTTGGTGTGTAAGTTCCATAGTAGCCTTGTCCAATATAACTTCTCCACACCTGGTTCTCTGAAGCTATTTCTTTAAGTCGAGCTAGCAACTCGAATTCACCTGAGCAACCATAGAAAGAATATACCCATACACAAATGCCACAAAAAGTGTTTTATACACATGCAAAGATACAATGATACAATGATAAAATAACAGTGAAATTAAGGTATAAAATTAAAAAATTTAAAATTTGGCTTAATTAGGCCTTCTTATTATGTTATTTAATTTATGCTATAATTTAACAAGCATCATATCCAAAGAGATAGAATTTTAATGCAGCTATACAAAATATAGCCTAAATTGTCAATAGCTGCAGCAAAGAATATGAGTTACTAGGACTACTGGCCTATAACAAACAAGCATAACACTAATAACAGAACAGAAATTTATTTGCATGCAATGGCACAATGCCAGTGTTTTATAAGATAATTTCAATATGTTAAATTTAAAGATCAGAAGTACAAACCAAGAGGTTGATCTAATTTCAATTCTCTGTTCAGTAGGATGTCCTCAGGAACAGCACATTGAGTTAGCTCCTCTAAGTCCTATTAAAAAAAAATTGGGAAAAATATACACCAATTTAATGTAGTCTACATGGAATTCAAAAATAAAAAAAAATTTAAAAAAAAAAGAAATCCTTTTTCTTTCAATCTCCAATTTTATTTAGTTGCGTAATTTTAAATTATAAATTTGGTGGGGTTTCAAATCTATCTCTTCATAAGCATTTAATACAAGTAAGTGACAATCTTAGTTGGCTCTTCCAGAAGTGAGAGGTTGGATTTAAAAACTATTTAAAATATTATTGTTGGGTTTGTAAGACAAAAATGAGGTATCAAAGGAAAGATAATTGAATGGACTATATGTTTGTAAACTTACTTCTTCAGTTTAAATTAAGTTTAACTAAAATAAACTACCACAAATGACATCCGAACAGCATTATGAGTCTAATGAGTTTGTGTATTTATAGAAATAAGACTGAGTGTGGACCTCCCTTCCAGACTAATTAGTCACCATCTTATTTAAATTAATTAACTTCACATTGATAAAAAGAGTTAGGACCTAATAATTGTCAGAAATATGAGCAGCAATATTTTCCATGATTTGTGATGGCGATGCGAACCAGTTAAAGTTAAAATTGACTAAAACTAGATTATTTTGCCCAACTTTAACAGCATGCATAATGTTAGCCATTATTTTATTTTTAGCAAATATCCACACAACACTAAATACGCCCAGCAGATGACGATGCTTTTTTTTTTTTTTCTTCCTCTGACATTATTATATTTAAGGCAAGGCATTCATAATCATAGATAATCTCATCAATTTCAAGAATTAATGAGGACATTTTGTGACCGACATTAATTAATGTTTCTTTAAAAATTAATGATTTAAATAACCGGCCTTTGAATAAAGAAACTCAAGTCTCAAGTTCACCAATAATAAAGAAAATTTGAAAAGTAAAACTTCCAGACTTAATCAAATATCGCATTCATTATTTTATGCTTATACTTATAACTTATACATGACAAAAGTATAAGTCATAACTACTTACTTACCTCTCACTTCACTAGACTATGAAAAAATTGATATGATGATCAGTGATAATATATTAAATTAGTGTAAGTAGTAAGAGTAAATTTAAGTGTTGATGTTGTAAATCTCTACAATGAGTTATTATAGGCCCTATCATATGGTCATGCAACTTATAAGAACTTAAGAAGGTACTTTTATACTTTTGTGTCGTCTGTGTTGACCTAGTTTAAGACTACTCAAGGCCACTCCATCCATTACATACTACATTCATTAAAAATAAAATTAGGCGTGAAATCTGAAATGCGACGCGGTGTTTAGTGTTTAAAATGTATTTTTTTTTCTCTAGTAATTAATTGTTTACCTTGACGCCAACAAGATTGAGCATCGCTCGTACTTCAGCAGAATTAGGTCCAATGTGACGCCTTGAAAAATCATCATATCTTTTTATTAACTTATCTAACGGAGTTGAAGACGAAGTAGTGGATGAATTTGGGGTTGACGAGACGGAAAGTGAACTGCGAACAGCTGATTGAAGCGTTGCATTGTTCAAAACATTTTTCCTCCTCAAAAATGGAAAGTGAAACCGTGTGTTTCGATGTTGCAAGAATGATGAAAACGATCTAACAGTTCGTCCTGAGCTAAACATTTCCGTCGTTCCCTGCCTGGCCTCTTTTTATAAAGTAACTATCGGATCCACTCTGACCATGAGTTGCTGAAAGATCTAACCCGCTAACTCAGCTGCGTGTAAGCAAAATGAGAAGCTCGGATCTAGCGCAGTTTTGTATTAGAAATAGCAACCAATCAAATTTATGATATGGACCCCACCCCCAAATGATTTTCCCAGTTTGGTGTTGTCGGCCATGTAGGGAATGTTTATGAATATGAATAAGATAAGATGACAAAATGATATTGAAAGTTCGTAAATGCGTTATTGTGTAACAATTTAAAGGGGAAAATAGTCCAAAGTTTGTCGACCTAATTTTAAGTTCATGTTGAATGAGAAGTTGAATGACCAGGTTATTAGTCTTTTTAAGTCGTGCAACTTGCAGCAGCGTGGCGTGATTATATTATTATTATAATTTATAATTATTAACTATAAATATGAAGAAAAAAATGATAAGAGTTTAAATTAAAATGGAATAGTAAATACAAATACATGGTGGTAGTGTCTAGACCTAGTAATTTTATTTTTATTTTTTTTTCAATCTTAACAAATAACTACTAAATTTATTTATTCATTTATGCAATTGAAAGTGAAAGGCCTGTTAAATTACCAGACCACCTCTAAATAGGCCTATATCTAACAGTCACATCACAAGTTCAGACAAAACCCTGACCCCTTTATAATAAATTAACTAATGAATCAATTACTTTCATTGCGGTTGCAGAATTTTATCACAAGGATGTAGGCCTATTATTTAAGAATATAGGCTACCAAGTTTAACTAGTCGATTGTGTTTGATTATTCTAAAATGTTAGTCTAAGCCAAACTCACAATGGATACCAGTTATAAAAAGCAAACTGCATAAACCATTGCATAAACCATTATCCCATTCCGATATAACTATACTAAAATGCAGCTTTGCTATTTTTCAACTAAGGGGGAACAAAAGTATTCAGAAAAAGAAAGGATTGTTTTTAAAATAGATGCCGAGGCGCGGAATTAATAACATTCTTTTTTTTAAAAATTAAAATAGCTAATAAACTTAGGAGCTAATAGGATTTTAAATGAATGCAACTTAAAATCAACCAAAGTAATCATTATTGGGCTTATAAATTTATCAAGTCAAGTTCTTTTTTAAAGAATTGTAGGCTTTGCCGTGTCGCGTGTAGGTTGAGAATTAAATGGCAGACTTGTCAACCAAGCACTGACGTAGGAGAGAGGGTGGAGGGGTGGTCCGCCCTTGGCGGTACTACGTAGGGCCATGCATCTATCTATACACTGTATAGTACAGTGACAGAGGGCAACATTTTTGGTCAACTTTAGAGGGGTTTTCTTCTTGGGGAGGGGCGGCGAAAATCTAGGCCCACTCCTGGTGGTGCTAATCCTTGTTACGACACTGCAAACACGTCCAATAATGCTACTAATAGGCTACTTTAAATTTTATAAGAAATGATAATGAAGCACAACACAAAATACAAAAAATAACCAACAAATTTGTGACCATGGACTTAGAAATCACCCCCCCCCCAACCCCAACCAGGAATTAATCGTACAACTTAATTTCCCAAGATTAAATTTTATAAAAAATGATAATGAAGCACAACACAAAAAACAAAAAAAAACCAACAAATTTGTGACCATGGACTTAGAAATCCCCCCCCCCCCCAACCCCAACCAGGAATTAATAGTAAAAATTAATTTCCCAAGTCCAATTTTTTTTTTCTGACGCCATGATGTAGCCTATGACTATGATTATTAAAGATTTGTCAATGTTGCGTATGCTCGTTTAATTTGTTAAAATCCGATCCAACAATTCAAAGTTTGAAATTATCTTTTCATATGTAGGCTACTAGTGGAAGTTTTCACACATTTTAGCACTAGTTAGCGTTCTTCTGGTTTTATTGTTTGTTTTTTTTTTCTTTCTTTTTTTGTTGTTGTAATCCTGTGCCCCAAACCCCACTGAGGTAACAAGAAAAAGGAATAAAACTTATGCTGCCACTAAATTAGCAAAATATATATAGATAGTTAAGGATCCCGCTTTAAAATATTAAATAATAATAATAGGAACAACAAAAATATCAAAGTTTAGCAAGTAGGGGGCCTACTCACATTTTAAAAAAAAAAAAAAAATTAAGCATCCTGATTAGAAACCTCCGATATCACGATGACATCATGTGAAGAACCCTTGACGTGACGGTGCAAATATGCAAACAATGGGTCCCATCTTGCTGAATCTTAGTAAGTAGCTATTTTTATAACAATACTGCCTACTAAAAGCAAAAAACGACTCACGGAAGTCTCTTGTGTCTAGGTGGCAGTCTAGGGCTTCTTGAACTTTGGGAGGGTGGAGTAGCAAGAGTTTGTGACGCGCCGGGCGGTCACTGGCCTTTCCGTCCCATAAATTATGGACACCACAAAGCAAACAGAATACTCACACACAAAAATAATAAATAAATATATACATTAAATAACCTTTATTGACTAGAAGAAGTGGACCGTAGATGCCACCACGAAAAAAGTGTCAACCGGACCAGACCCCCCGCCCCCCACCCCCATACGCCAGTGCCTCCTAGGTCGTGGGCACGATGCCCACGTTTTCTAATAGATAACTTTGTCTTGAAGATGTGTAATAAGACAAATAGCAGAAAATTGCACAGCGGCGAAAATGATGACTTGATTTGAGTCTTGGGTTGATCGCAAAGATGTTTGTATTCAGCTCTAGTATATACGTGTAAAGCTTCTCTCGCCAGCGGCTACAGTAATAGGTCTTGTAAGCATTCGTCTTAATGCTACCCACCAACTTGGCATGACATTCTGGAACTCATTAATGTTTATGAATTGAGCGGACCATGAGGAAATAATACTTTGGTTATATCTAGTTCAGTCAAGAGAGCACTTCCATTTACATCGCTATTTTCTTGATACCTTAACCTTCCTCCTCCCTGTGGCGCTACAGCCCATGTAGGGCTTTGGCCTGCCTCACCACTTCCTTCCACTCAGACCTAACTATGCGTTTCTTTTCCATGCTTGGACTTTCAGCTGCTGTAGATCTTTTTCTACATCATCTATCCACCTAAGCCTAGGTCTGCCTTTGAGCCTTTTTCCTCTGGGGTTTTGGTGATGTACCCTCTTCGTTCCTCCGTCATTTGGCATTCTCTCTAGGTGTCCTGCCCAGCGTAGCCTTCCTCTTTTTATTTCGGCCACTATTGTGGGATCCTGATATAGACTGTATAATTCCTGGTTGGTTCGTATTCTCCATCCACATTCATCCTTTGTTGGCCCATATATTTTCCTGAGAACTTTCCTCTCCCATGTGTTTAATAGGTTTTCTGCTGTTTTTGTTAGGGTCCAGCTGTTACAACTGGTCTGATTACAGTTTTATAAATAGTTTTCTTTGTTTCTCTTGTAATGTTTTTACTTTTGAGTATTTTCTGACTACTGAAGTATGCCCTGTTTCCGGCTGATATTCTTTCTTTTATTTCTGTTAGTAATTCGTTTCTTTCATTTAACAAGGATCCTAGGTATTTGAATTGATTTACTTTTTCAAAAGTTTGGTTTCTAATTTTAATTGTTTCATCTGTTTGTTCCTCTCTTATCATGGTCATGTATTTTGTTTTTTGGTTGTTAACTTCCAGCCCTGCTTTAAGAGATGCGTCTTCTAATTCAATAAAGGATTTTGATATGTCTTTTATACTTTTCCCTAGAAGTGCTATGTCATCAGCATATGCAAGATACTGAAGTGGTTGGTTGTAGAGTGTGCACGTTGGTTGTGGGTCTTGAGTTTCCCTCAGAAAGTATCCTTTTATCGTTCCTCGAGTGTCAATGTGTATGTTTCTAATAACTCTCTCTAATGTTAGGTTAAAAAGCATACAAGACAGTGAGTCTCCCTGTCTTAGGCCGCGTCTAATGTGAAAGTCCCTTGAATATTCTCCTTGAATCTTGATTTTGCTTTTTGAGTTGTTTAGTGCTACATGTATTAGCCTTGTCAGTTTGTTGGGTATCCCAAACTCCTGCAGAGTCTCATATAAATAGTTTCTTTTGATGCTGTAATAGGCCATTTTATAGTCTACATAGAGTTGATGTACTGGTATATTATATTCATAGCATTTCTCTAATAGGCATGTGATGGTGAAAATCTGATCAGTCGTTGATCTGTTAGGCCTGAATCCACATTGGAAATCACCTAGCACGCATTGACTACAAGCTGTCTCTTCTCTGTCACAACTTTTTCTCGGATTCCTGCCCTTCCTATCTAACTGAACTTCTTTCTGTCTATTCACCCCTTCGACAACTTCGCTCCTCCGCAGACTCGCGTATTCTGTCCGTTCCCAAGACACGCACTAAATTATATGGTGAACGATCTTTCTCTTTCTGCGCCCCCAAACAATGGAATTCTTTGCCACTACACATCCGCAATATAACAACCACAC